CAGATTGTGTGTGTATGTACGGGATACTTCATTATACCGTGGAGAGAAAAAAAAAGAAAAGAAAAGAAAAAAAAAAAAAGAAAAAAAAAAAAGAAAAAGAAAAAGAAAAAAAGTCGGGTGATAACCTTCTATGTAACTATATTTTTCAAGGACTACAAATTATGCCATGAGTGATGATTATTCTGATCCGAGATTCATCTATACAGGATTATGCAAACTTATGCATATGCTCGGTGTGCCCGGAAGTAGGGTTAATTAAGTATGGAGTACTCACTTCGTACTATACAACTGGGTCAAGAGGTCCGCTTAAATGCCAGCGAGTAATTGCCCACCAAGCAAGGGCACATACATATACCTATCCGTACAGTGGCGTCTCCAAATTGCACCAAGGACCAGTACAGGGGCGTCCATCGAATAGAACACAGGATCTCCAAGAGTAATATGGAAGAGGCGTGATTGGTCAGTAGATCCCCGGGAAAGTCAATGGCCAGAGCATGATGTCAGGACAGTGGTGATATCAGTTGCTTTTTATGCTGTGGTGTATCGTGCTCATGGTGAGTACAGAGTACTCTGTATAGTACATACATACATCTCTGCTGGTTGAAATGGGTGACAGTCTTCTATCACAACTCTACGTAGTATACAATACACAAGCCGTATAGATGCATCTAGGCCGGCTTGGGGTGCGTAATGCCGTTACATACGGTCCCCACAATGCGGTCTGCAGCTCTTCTAGAATTGACCAACCCCACTTGTTAGTGATGGCAGCCAATAAAAATACACAAAATTGGCCACCGTCTCATACTTTGACGGCTGACCCACTGGGTTATAAAGACCCACCGGAAGCGATACGGTAATTTACGCTGCCGAGCTATTTTAACTTGAACTATATTTGTATTATTAGAACATGTAGTGTTGTGAGAAAAGAATATTGTAAACAATTGATAGTGTACCGAGTACATTACAGAGTACAGATTGAGTAATGTCAGTGGTAGAACTCACCGATCGATCAATATAAGCACGGATCTGACCCTTCTCTAGTACGTGCGAGATCGGCAACCAGTCAATCCACGGCTTTTGCCATCGCGGTTTTCTTGCTCCAGTTTTTTGCCTTTCTTATCTTTTTCATTTCTCTCTCTTTCTCTCTCTCTTGTCTTCTCTTTCTCTTCATCTCTTTTGTCTCATTTCTTCCATTCTCTCCTGATTGTACATATTATTATTATCTTACCCTCGTTCATCTCATCTCTCATTCATCTTCGATGCAGTGCTAGTGTCTCCACAACTACTCTGCACTACACTACAGCTATACTACAGCTACAGCTACTCTTAATCCCACTCCAGAGTACACTGTTTCAGGTAATACCCTCCTTACACCACGAGTCAGCCATATACAAAAAACATAAATAACTATTAACTCGGGCCCGCGCATTATCTGTTATATGGGGAATTCAGTCTCTGCGTGTCCCGTGTTAATATACCCCTGATCGGCTCGTGCGTCGTCGGAGCTTTTTTTTTTTTTTTTTTTTTTTTTTTTTTTTTTTTTGTTCTTTTTTTTTTTTTTTTTTTTTTTTCACCTTCATTTATTCATTTATTATCATGGCGTTCGCCCATTGACCCGGAATTCTCGCTAACATCGTCTTCTAGTTTAGTTTCCTTTATTATTTTTTACTCATTTTTAATATCTTACCACTCTAATTCCCGACTATCTCTGGCCTGGCGCCAGTATGTCGACCCCCGTGGAGGAGATCCCGGAACCCAAATATCACGACGATAAGAGAGACGATAAGAGAGACGATAAAAAAGATGATAAAAAAGACGAGAAGAAAAAGGACGCCCAGAATGACTACATCCACCACGATGACGATGCCATCTCCCCCTCCGGCAATGACCACTACGAAGAGTCCGGTCCCAGCGATTCCGGGCACCTGAGGGTTGATACCGCATTGGACCGTGATTTGATGGCTATGCGCTCGCCGTCTGCGAACCGGGAGCAGTCGTTGCGTTTGGAGGATGATCTGGCGTTGTTGGAGGCTGAACGGGTGGCCTCCGTGTCCACCCGGGATGAGCACGACAGGGATCAAAAGTCTTCCAGTTCCGCCGCGCGGAGCCGGTCTCGTCGCTCGGAGAATGTCGATGAGTTTGACGAGGCGACTAACCCATTGCACGAGAAGGCGGCTGTTTACAACCCTCCGGAAAAACCCAACACGACGCTCGCTCTCTTCATTAAGAAGCTCCATCAGTCGAGCTTTATTCTCCGATACTTTACCTACATTGTTCCCGTTGTCCTGCTTTTGCTGATTCCCCTGCTGGTCGGTGCTTTGGCGTTCCCCAATGCCAGTGTTGGAGGCGTCGAGTTACTGTGGTTCTCGGTTTGGTTGGAAATCGTCTGGTTGACCTTGTGGGCAGGAAGGGTACGTCCCCAGTCCCCATTAGGATGACAATGAACACAGCTAACTGAACAGATTGTGGCCAAAACACTCCCCATCCCCGTCGGAATCATGGCTAGTATCTTCACCAACAATGCGAAGAAATGGCGCGACCTGGCCAAGCAACTCGAACTCCATGCGACCATCTTCTTCTGGTGGTTGGGCGTGGAAATCTCTTTCCTCCCCACCATGAAAAACCACCACGTCGACCATGACGGGCGTACGCGCGATTGGGAGAACACCGTCAACAAGCTCATCATTTCCTTCTTCGTCTGGACCATCCTGAACCTGATTGAAAAGTTCCTCATCCAGTTGATCGCCATGAGCTTCCATCTCCGCACGTACTCGGACCGCATTGAAATCAACAAGTTCCAGATTGGCAGCTTGACCAAGCTCTACACCTACTCCCGCGAGAAGATTACCCAACTGGACGCCGACTTTGAGGAAAGGAGTGCTGCTCCCCAGGGCGATGGCAATGGCTTCCGCACTCCCATGCGCTACGCCGGACGCGCGCAGCGTGTGGCCAAGGGTGTGGCCAAGGGTACGCTGCAGAAGGTCGGTGATGTCGCAGGAGCCGTGGCGGCCGACTTTACCGGTAAAAAGGCGACCAACAGCACCCATCCACATACCGTCGTCCTGACCCTGCTGCGCACCACCACGGGCTGCCAGGTGCTGGCTCGCCGATTGTATCGGACCTTTGCGCGCGACGGATTCGACACTGTTTTCTCTGGTGATTTGAAGGAGGCTTTTGACAACAACGAAGAAGCAGACGCGGCGTTCGCCATGTTCGACCGCGACATGAACGGCGATATCTCCATGGAAGAGCTGGAGGCGTCGTGTGTGGAGACCGGGCGAGAGCGCAAGTCCATCACAGCCTCGCTTAAGGATCTCGACTCGGTGGTGTCTCGTCTGGACAACGTGTTGGAGTTCTTCGTTGTGGTTATCTCACTGATTGTCTTTCTGACGTTGATTTCGACGTCGGCCGCTGGTGTTCTCACGTCCGCCGGTTCTAGTGTCCTCGCCCTGTCCTGGCTATTCTCCGCGACGGCGCAGGAATTCCTGCAGTCGGTCATTTTCGTCTTTGTGAAGCACCCATTCGACGTTGGCGATCGTGTCACGGTGTACGGTAACTCCGGAGACGCAGGTCTAGGCGACGACTACTTCGTCAAGCAAATCTCGCTCCTCTACACTGAATTCAAAAAGATGCAAGGCCACATCGTGCAAGCGCCCAACACATACCTCAACGGCCTCTTCATCCTCAACCAACGCCGTTCCGGCGCACTAGCCGAAGCCGTCCCCATCGTCATCAAATATGGCACGACTCTCGAACAAATCGACGGCCTCCGCCAACGCCTCGTCGAATTCGTCCGCAGCGAAAGCCGCGAATTCCAGCCCAACGTTCTCACTGAAATGCGCGAGGTCACCGACAACTTCAGCATCACGCTCAACGTCGTCTTCTTCTACAAGTCCAACTGGCAGAACGAGGGGTTGCGCCTGCAACGCCGCAACAAGTTCATCTGCATGCTCATGATCGCCCTCCAGGAGATCGGCATTGAAGGATCGCGCATGAACCTCCAGGGTGCCCACGTCGGCTTCCCCGTCCACGTCAACTGGCACGGCGCTCCCCCTTCCCAACCCCCACCTAGCTACAATGACAACAACAACAACAACAACAACAACAATACACTGAGGCCAGCCCCTGCCGTCGGCCCAGACAACAACAGCAACCCCCCCGGCAGCGCCGGTAGTTCCTCCGCCAACCCCGCCCGCCACACCTCCATCCTGCGCAAGGGCATGAACACGGCCGCCGCCCGAGCCCGCGGCGACTCCACCGCCTCCCGTAAACACGTCGACTTCTCCCTGGGCATGTCAGAAATGGCTTCGGGCGACATCCTCGGCGACGTCTTCGAAGACCGCCAATACGACAACCGGATAGACGTAGACATCGTCCGCGAAACAAACCGCGAAACAGCGGAGCGCCGCATCCAAGAAATCCGCGAGGAAGAAGAAGAAGAAGAATCCGAGCGGCGACGCAGCGAGTCCTCGAAGAAGAGTTCTCGACGCGGTGCGGGGACGCCGGCTGGTGGGTCGAACAGCAATCTCAGCGTGCCTTCGCATGGCGATGGTAGACCGTCGAACGAGAGTCATGGGAATCTGAGCCTTTCCTCGTCGTTACATCGGAGGGGGTTCTTTAGGAGGAGGAGTAGTGCTAGTCGGGAGCAGGAGGATTTGGAGGAGGGAAGGGGGCGGAGTCCGCATGCTCATGCTCATGTTGAGGATGAGAAGAGCTGACGATTGAGTTGAGAGGGGTTTGGGTTTCGTTTTGTTTATTTTGATGTTAATTGGTACATACGGATATACAATGCATATATATATATAGAACGAGTAATTATGAGTGGAAGAGGGGAGGATGTGGATATTATGTGGATATGGACATGACATATAATGATGTCTGTTTTATATATTATTCCATTGCAATCGATACTATTAAACACTACTATTTCTGATTATGATGAACTCTTGTCAAGCCCAATCCACTGCCTAAGTCTTCCACGTGAGTCCAGAGGCCGCTTGTTGCCCCATTTCGGGCCTCCACACACGGCGAATCCTTTGCTGCGTGAATCCTTCTCAAACAGACTCATCATCAAGCCAAAGCACCGGTTGAAATCGTCGAGATATTCCGCTCCAGTGTAGGCTGAGCTCTCCGCTTCCGTCTTCATCAAGTCAATCAACGATCCATTGACCCAATTCTTCACCTGGATGAAGATGAGGGTGTAGTCGCCGTCACCGAGCTTAACGGGTATGCCGATGTCCACGCCCGGGAAGTTTTCCGGGAAAAAGAGAGCTGCGGCCCGCCTGTACACCTCTTTGGTAAAGCTGATCGGGGTATTTGTTTGTGACGCTTGGGGTCATCTCCGTCAGCGGGCGGAAAAAAGTGATTAAAATAAACTGTTCCTTTGTCCCAGATCTCTGCGAGCCTATCGTATTCGTCGGCTTGGCTCTTCATCTGTTCGGCGGGCTTCTTTCCGAGCAGTGCATGGAGAAACTGGCCAACCATAACAGTGCTGGGCTTCAACGTGTTGATCATCGAATCAATAGCTATGAGTAGTATCATCGCCGCCACCATTTCACCTGAATTACCTATGTCGATCGAACCTCGAAAAAACGCAGGAAGTACAGCACGCACACACTCCAACTTCTCTCTCGGTGTTCTCATGTGCCTACTGGCGGCCAAGAGGACACAGAACATCGAATAGTTGGGGGTCAAGGCAGTTTCCACGGCAGATTGGAATGGATGAAAATCACGAGCGAGGTCGTTCGGCAATTCTTCGTCAAACAGCTCATTGACCACCTGACGGAACGCACGGAAGAGACAGGATGGAGCGTCTCTTTTTTCGTCGTCAAGTAACGGCCTAGCTTCATCCAGGCAGACCACAATTATTGGACCAGATTCGTTCTCCATTGACGTCCCATCCGGCAATGATTTGGTTCCTTTGATCCTTTCTTTCCTCTTCGTGATGAAGTCCTTAGTCGCGACGTTCACCTCTGACTCGCCATCCTGCAAACGTTTCGAGATAACGCCTGATGTCGAACCGAAGCTGATCGTGGTATCCATCGTTGCTCACTTGAGGTTTGAAGTGATCCTCAGGAGAAATGCCCGCATTGTAGCAAATGATAGTCCCAATAAGCCGCAACAATAAACATCTTCCATGGGGCAGTGCAGGTGTCGACGTCCTCTTTGGAAAAGGTGTCGATGATATCCGCGACAGTTGACCTCTTCGGATACCCTCCTGCAGTCCCCGCCGACAAGTTGATGTAGATAACATCTTTATGATGACTGACAGAGAGTTGTTTCACGACAAAACTCTTGCCTATGCCCGAGGGATCTACAATGGTTGTTTACGGTGCCACGTAGGTATTCGCTGCTCTTTCTGTAGTCCTGATGGTATGTGCAGTCTTTCGTAAACGAAGTGGCTCGCGACATGGTTCTGCGAGCGATCCTTCTTCCAGAAAGCCACCCCAACAAAGCCCTCGAGTTTAGAGGATTCTGAACTTGGAGATGGCGCCTTAGGCGTGGGTTTGTTGAGAGCATTCTGAGCGTTCACCCAGATCAACTCGTCCACTTCACCAAAAAAAAGCACAGTAGCCAGTAGAGGTACCACTCTTTCGACCCTGAAGCCGTCGGAGTGTAACAACTGTATCAGCATGTTGGCAATCCATTGAAGTCAATCGCATTCTCTGGATCGCTCGACACCTCTTCGTAGATTGACTTGGTATCTAGCCCTAAACTTTCCCAAGCTGACTTGCATTCTTCACGAAACTTGTCGAGAGCGGCCATTATGGGCCAGACACTTAGGGGGGCCTGCTGAACGTGTCAGCTTCATTTTGAACTGATCACACAAGGAAAGAAGACTGAGACTATAGAAGATCACTCATTTTCGATGGAGGACACTTGCTGACAGTAGGGAAGATGGGTAGAGAGCAGTGGGAAAATTCCAGCGTACACAGAAAGATTTTTTTCAAAGGAAGAAAGTTCGGATTCATCACGTGGCTGCATAGGTGACAGGGAGACGTCTGGTGCAAAGACCTTCACAGTGAATACTACTATCATCAACTATCATCAGATGTCAACCATGTAGTCAACTAAGTTAACTTGACGATGTATATGTAAGCGAGAGCGGTGAGTCACGTGATGAAGTGGGTGATCAACGTCGACCGCATGTTTGGTGGTCCTTTTAACCTCTCAATCAGCCCAGCAGGTCCATTCTGCTTTCCCTATCTCCAGATTCCACTGAATCTACTACGACGACTACCTTCAATTACCCCCATATCTCGCTGTTTCTCAATCACTTGTCACTATGAGAGGAGAAGTACGTTTATTCCTTATCGCCATTGTTTACTGCCATCCCCGCATCTCCCTTATCCCCTGAACCTGGTTACCCCAAGTCAACCACGGAATCACCACGCGTGGAATCTCGCGTCGTTTCAATGTCAACCGGTTGGAAATGCAAGGCTAATCGTGCTGTGAAACTCTAGATTTGCCATATTCACATTGGTCAGGCTGGTGCGCAGCTGGGTACCAGCGCTTGGGAGCTGTATGTTCTCACCGCTTTTTGTTCCCTCCTTCCCTACCAGCTCCCTCCTCACACCTTCCAGGTACCTGCTCGAGCACGGTCTCAAGGCCGACGGTCGAATTGATGAGGAGAGAATCGAAGAGATTGGCGACGGTGGCTTCCGCGAGACTTTCTTCGCCGAGACCGGCAATGGGAAATATGTGCCTAGATCGGTCTTCGTTGACCTTGACCCTTCGGTACGTATTTCTAGCTGATGATATTGGAACAAACCAGGGATTATTAAGCTGATGGATTATAGCCCATTGATGAGGTCCGTACCGGCAACTTTCGTCAGCTCTTCCACCCCGAATTCTTGGTCAGCGGAAAGGAGGATGCCGCCAACAACTGTACGCCCACCGTGTTATTCAAAGATATTGAGACGAGGCTGACCGGTGGCAGATGCCCGTGGACACTACACTATCGGAAAGGAATTGGTGGACAATGTCCTCGACCGCGTTCGCCGTGTTTCTGGTACACCCCTCTTCATGGACAGCGTGCAATTGAATTCCGCTAATCCTCACCAGACAACTGCTCCTCTCTGCAGGGTTTCCTAGTCTTCCACTCTTTCGGTGGTGGTACTGGTTCCGGATTTGGTGCCTTGTTGTTGGAGCGTCTCGCCACTGAGTATGGCAAGAAGTCGAAGCTCGAGTTCGCCGTCTACCCCTCTCCTCGTGTGTCGACTGCCGTCGTGGAGCCTTACAACGCTGTCTTGTCCACCCACAGCACCATTGAGAACTCGGACTGTACCTTCTTGGTTGACAACGAGGCTGTCTACGATATCTGCCGTCGCAACTTGGACATCCCTCGTCCCAGTTATGAGCACCTGAACCGTCTGATCGCCCAGGTCGTTAGCTCCGTCACCTCCAGTCTCCGTTTCGATGGTGTCCTCAACGTCGATCTGGCCGAGTTCCAGACCAACTTGGTGCCTTTCCCTCGTATTCACTACCCTCTGATTTCCTACGCTCCTGTTGTGTCCAGCAGTCGCAGCTCTCACGAGAGCTTCAAAGTCCAGGACCTCACCTTCCAATGTAAGTTGACCGCATTATTTTTGGCGTGAGTTTAGGGACTGACTTTTCCACAGGCTTCGAGCCCAACAACCAAATGGTTGTTTGTGACCCCCGCAACGGCAAGTACATGGCTGTCGCTCTTCTGTACCGTGGTGACGTTGTGCCGCGTGACTGCACCCAGGCCGTGGCCAACGTCAAAGCCAAGGCTTCTTTCAACCTGGTTGAGTGGTGCCCTACCGGTTTCAAGTTGGGTATCAACTACCAGAAGCCTCAGCGCATTCCCGACAGCGAGATGGCCCCTGTCGACCGTTCCGTCAGCATGCTTTCCAACACCACTGCCATCTCCGAGGCCTGGAGCCGTCTCGACCACAAGTTCGACCTCATGTACTCCAAGCGCGCTTTTGTTCACTGGTACGTTGGCGAAGGTATGGAGGAGGGTGAGTTCTCTGAGGCCCGTGAGGACCTGGCTGCATTGGAGAAGGACTACGAGGAGGTTGCCAACGATGGCGAACCCGACGTCGAGGAGGAAGCCGAGTACTAAGCGGGTCTTACCATCGGGCCCTGTTTATGGTCTACCTGTTAATATTGGCTTCTTGTCTTTTTACTTTCCTCTGTCCATCTTTAGATGTTTGTTTGCGACAACCCCTTTTGTTCATACTTCCCCTTAGCGACCTTTGAATGCCTGACTTTACAAGAAATACGAGAATTACAATGTGAATAATTATTCTAGTCAGTCACTTTCCTTAATGATACAAACCGAGCGACAGAATTGACTTCAGTCTTTCTGATCGGCACCCACCTTCATCTCCATCAGTAGTCTCAATGTAGTCTCGTAGGACCACATGGTGATTGCACTAGCCGGCGCAGCCTTGATAAGACTAACAACCAACCCACGGTACAGACCTCGCACACCCTGTGTCCGCACAATCATCCGAATAGAATTGAACACCCCTTGATACTCGGGAATATTGCGATGCACATACATATGCCTCGTCGGCCCCTGCACCTGCAACCTCTTCCTCACAAGATCCAACGGAAACACTCCCGTCTTCGCCAACACACTCGCCATAACCCCCGCCGCGGCATCCCCAGACCCAAACGGCAAATGCTGCACATCCGCCATCACCGGCCGCAGCGTCTCATACGTCGCAAAGAACAACCCCATGTACGGCACAATCTGCCCCACAGCCGCAGTGCACCCGCGGAAGAATCCCGACGCACCTTCTAGACGCGCGATTTCACGGACGGACGAGAAAAGGGAGAGGTAGACGCGATCGCGACCTTGCGCGGCGAAGCGTGTGCGCAGGAGATCGAGGGGGTATGTAGCGCCCGTTGCGACGCCGCCGGCGAAGGCACCAGAGATGAAGGATTCGACGGGTTGTGGGGGGCGGTAGGGGCCTAGTTGGGCTAGGGCTTGGGTTGTGCTGCGGTAGGTGGTGAATTGGACGGCGCCGTAGCAGACGTACATTAGTTCGGCGGGGATGTTGCCTTTCCAGAGGCCCTAACCGGTTCGCATGTTAGTTTGTGCTTTCTGGTTCCTTGGTGGGCGTTGGTGTGGCGCACTGTTATCCCCTCTTCTTTCAAGATGGACCGCATCGTGGAGAAGGTCCCCTTGTAGATTGGACCGCTGACATGTTGATGGGACACGGGGTCCGACATGGAGTGGATTTGGAGCTGGAGGCGGATCTTGACGACATCGAGGGGGGCGATGCAAAATCTAAGAGAATTGCAATGTTAGCTGTTCTTCTATTATCTTGTCTCGGTAGTTGGAGGTACCGTGAGATAAGCCCGGCAATTCCACCTGCCAGAACCACCTGCCGCCGTGTACCCTGGAAAATGTCAGTAAGAATCCTTCGTATATAACAGGAGAAGATCTACCTCATCCTTGAGGTGCTCGCCCCCGGCAGACATTCATGTGAAGCTCTGTTGGGATCTTCTCTATCGGAGTCTATCGGAGTTTGGAGTAAAACCCCGGGATCATCGGACGGGAGATGGAGAAAATAATGAATGTGACAGGAAGAGCACTCTGTATAGACAGTCGCTGTTAAAACATGGACAACTGAAGGGCAATTGAAAGAAATATCAGTCAGAAGCAGGAGGGGGGATTAAATATACCCCCAGCTGTGACGTTTTTTTAATAATATTATCTTTGCTGCATTTCGATTTGGTGATGCCAATGCGTGCACGTGATGTGTAATGATGGCGTACGGGTATTTACGGACATATCCGCATCAGGTAAGTTTCTCTGCCTGAGGCTGACAGGTATTTATCAACTGCGGAGAAGCATCTCTTTCCCTTCCCCCGCGACATACAGAGTCAGCGCCAACTGCTTCCTGTTGCTGGGAAGGAGGCCAAAATGTCAACCGTCACTATGGCTCGTCCCCTGGGCAGGCTCCTGCGTTCCTCTCCGCCGATTACTCGTCCTTTTCCCTTCATTTTCCGTCGTGGTCACCGTTCGACAAGCCCACCCAAGGCAGCGTATGATTCAACCCTTCCCGTGAAGTCAGAATACGCCGGGCTGGAATATCCCAAGCTGGAAAAGGAATTGCCTGCGGGAATTTCTGTGAGCAAGACGCATTTCAAGGTGTGTATTGGAAACAGTGGTGAGAGAGTATATTTATTTCCGGCTCTACGTGATTCTTGCAAATGTCCCATTTGTGTCGATCCGCACTCGAAGCAACGCAACTTCCGGACGTCGGACATCCCAAACGAGATCCAACCGCGCAATATCGAGTTTGACGGCAAGGAAATAATCGTTCAATGGAACAATGACATTCCTGGCTATGATGCATCCCATACTTCAAGATACGACATAAACACTCTTATAGTTCCGGTCAAGTCAACGACAAAGCTCATCGCTGCATCGAGGCCGCGTCGGACTTGGGATCGGGAATGGATGAACAAGTCACAGTTCTGGATCTCGTACGACGACTATATGAATAACGAAGTCCAGTTTGCGACTGCGATGCGGAATCTATGTGACACTGGACTCATCTTTGTCAAGGATATCCCCGATTCCCGTGAGGAGGTCAAGAAGCTGGCCACGCGCATGGGTCCGCTCCGGAACACATTTTACGGCCCAACATGGGATGTGCGCAGTATTCCCAAGGCCACGAACGTGGCTTACACAAACCAATTCCTTGGCTTTCACATGGACTTAATGTACATGCGCGAGCCCCCGGGCTATCAGCTTCTCCATTGCTTGGAAAACTCATGCGACGGAGGCGAATCGATGTTTTCGGACGGTTTCCACGCGGCCAAAACAATTTACAAGATGGGAACGGATTTGTTTGATGTTCTTACCGACGTTCAACTTTGCTACGAGTACAACCACGAGGGCGCCATATATCACAACCGCTGGCCGGTAATCGAGACCACAACCATGAGGCACCCTACAGAGTTTCCACCGATTCGGCATGTCAACTACTCCCCTCCGTTCCAGGGCCCCATACATTCTCGACACGTTGGGAGGAACTACCACGAATTCAAGAAGTTCAGAAAGGCTCTCAAAATTTTCTCTGAGCTCCTCGAGCGCGGGGAAAACACCTTCGAACTGAAGTTAGAGCCCGGCCAGTGTGTCATTTTCGAGAATCGTCGGGTCGTCCATGCCCGGAGACAATTCAATACTGCTGTCGGTCAGCGCTGGCTTGCGGGTGCCTATGTCGATGAAGACTGCCTGTGGTCTCGGTTCCGGCGGAGTATCCGTGACTATCCTGAGGCTTGGCCAGGGCAATGGGAAGACCCGAATAAACAGCTGCAGCGGGACTCTGGGTAGCATTAGGTTACAGAAAAAGGAATATGAGGGCAACTAGAGGGGAAAGTGTTGTATAGTATAGTTCTGGGTCTTTGTTAAGCCTAGAGTTTAGAATTTGTTGATATCTTGTATATATAGCATGAATCTTGAAGCCATGAGAGTTGAAGGTTGTGAGATTTCATTTCATTTCATTTTTTTTTTTTTTTTTTTTTTTTTTTTTTTTTGCCCACTGGAAGGATGATATAACAATCGCTGAAAAACATCATCTAAACAGACAATTCGATGCACCGCAACTGAACACGGCTAAGAATTGCCATTGGAATTTTTGTAGATTAACACATAAGGATGCTCTCGAATGCGACTAAGCGCCAGCCGGCTTGTTAACAGAGAAATCGTTAAAGAAGTCCGGGTCATTGTTCAGCTCTTCTTTGACCTGTTCGAGATCAGTTAGCAAACGATTCCTGGAGAAATAGAAAGAGGGAATGGCACATACAATATCCAAACCACCAACCAATTCACCCTTAACCCACAACTGCGGGAACGTAGGCCACTCCGCATACTCCTTCAAACCCTGCCTCACATCTTCATCGGCCAAGATATTAAAGAACCCATACTTAACACTCCGCTCGCGCAGAATCCCCACCAAAGTCCGACTAAACCCACACTGCGGCGCGCTAGGACTCCCCTTCATAAACAGCATAACCGGCGCAGCCTTCACCAACTCCTCCAACCTCGCAAACAGCGCCTGCTTCGACTGCTCCGCAGAAATAGGCGCCTGCGTCGCAGTCGTGGGGGCATTATCCTCTCTGGGCGTCGCACTCAGCGGCGGCGGAATCTGGCTCTTCGGAGCACCAACAGCACCACCGTCAGAAGCGCCGCGGCCGGCGAAACTCTCAACGGCGTCACGCACGCGAGCTGCGTCGCTGCCGCTGATCGCGTCGAGGACCTCGCCGCCGCGCACGATAACGACGAAGGGGACGGCGGTGACGTCGTAGTCCTCTGAGATGTCGGGAAGTTCTTCGGCGTTGAGGCTAATGAAGGAGACGGAGGGCGGGGTAGTGACGGGGTATTGGGACGCGAGGGTGGAGAGGACGGTGTGCATCTGGGCGCATGGTGCGGCCCATGGCGCGTGGAAATAAAGCACGAGCAGGCAGGATGGGGGGATGGAGGAGATGTACGAGGTGAAGACGGCCTCGTCTGTGACTTCTTGGACGGTCGACATGGTGGTGGTGAATTTTATGCAGTGCACCGCAATCGGAGGGGTTATCTGATGGAGGGGCAGTGGCTGGAGTATTGGAGTAGAGAAGAAGTGAGTGGCCGGCCTTGTAGGTGAGAGGGATTAAGGCAATAAATAAGAGAGAGGGTACTGTATGTCAGACCAGTGCCCAAAGAAAAAGCAAGCACGAAGAGGGACAGAAGAAGGTTGATGGGCGATGGCGAATTTTGGCTTATCAGATCGTTACCATAATTACTGTACTTGTACTGTTTCGCCCGGTTTCGCTCCGGAGATGGATCTCGGAGGTTCTAATGATCCGCGCCACACCCGTTGATATGGAAAAAAGGCACCGAATGTGATATAGACACTTATTAATTCAGAGCTAATTACACGGCTCTGAGATTGAATTAGAAGGCTAATTATCGCCCTACCCCATTCTTTTTGCCCGTTCTATCCGGGGGTATTCCTTAGGAAACGATAGTGCTATATGTTATCGATAAGCTATCATCACGTGCCGCAAAAGTCAGTTAGTCAACTGTTATAACAGACAGGCAAAAGCAATTTCTCCAATTACGGCCTAAACCAGAGGTCGCTCGTTTCGCGCGAAGAAAAGAAGTTACTATTTTTACACCTTATACGATTTATTTTGCTATTCGTCGATTTTCCCCGGCCGCGCGATTGACGATTCCCGATCCTCGGTGCGATGGGAAAGCGAAAGTATTCGGACGATGATGACCCAGTCAAGGATACCTCTGGAGCTAGCAATGGCTTCGGAGTGGCACAGTTATTGACGCAACTCCAGAACGCCGATACAGAACCCAAGGACGGCGCTCCGGAAGAGTCGAGAGAGTCGCAAAACGGTGACGGCGGCGAATCCGACAAACAGGTCAAGAAGCAGAAGCGGGTGGACGGTGAAAAGGTCAAATACCCTGTTCTGACGTATGTGGAGGGCAGGTTATCGTCGTCGATTCGCATCGCGGATCTACAGGGCCTGCTCCTCTATTGTTTCGCGGATGGTGTCGCGCCGCAGTGGATATCGATCAAATATCCAGGGCATGTCCGGAAGATTGTCGTGTTGATGGTTCCGGGGTTAGAAACTGGAATGTTTGACGGGACAATATCATTGGATTCGCATTCCCAGGAAGCCGGTCCTGAGGCAGACGACACGCAGGAGAACTCGGAGGACGTCAGAAAGGAGGATTTCCAAAGGTGGAAACAAGGACTTCCTCCGGAAGACCGGTCGCATCGCTTTAGCCCTCGTTCACTATCGCGCGAGAACCTTGCGGAGCCATTGCAGCCTCTGGCAGACATGTTTCCGCATGTCTGGCCTGTGAAGACGCCTGGTGACCCCAAGTACAACAAGGTCCACTCTCCACTTCAGGCGGTTCTTATGTCTTCTCTCCCGAAGACTAAGGAGAGCGGGAAAGGCCCTAAACCAGCCAGAGCAGATAAGTTTGTGCCGAAGCGGACTCCAATCACCACTTTCATCAGCTCCAAGAATGATCTACAAGAGAACGACTACGTCTTACACCCATCTCTCCTACCTACGGACCAGGAAAAGCGCGCCAATGAAGAGCTCAGGAAGCGCACTAGCACCTCGACCGATGATGGATGGGTCGACACCCATGTTCCGAGTCTGGAAGCTGCAAAGATACCCGATACCGAAATCCAACAAGGCAGCATGACGGCGGGTCACAACGTGCTTGCCATGGACTGCGAAATGTGCATCACAGAAGGTGGCAAGTCGGAACTCGCCCGCGTCAGCTTAGTCCGCTGGGACGGCGAAGCCGTGCTGGATGAGTTTGTAAAACCGGAACGGCCCATAATCGACTACCTCACCAGATTCTCAGGCATTACGAAGGAAAAACTGGACCCCGTTACGACAACCCTCGCTGATATCCAACAAAAACTCCTTTCCATCCTCACCCCTCGCACCGTATTGGTCGGACACTCGCTCGATTCCGACATGAACGCATTAAAACTTACCCACCCATTCATTGTGGATACCACCATCATTTACCCACACCCGCGCGGGCCGCCGCTTAAATGCAGTCTTAGGTGGCTCACGCAGAAATACCTGGGCAAGGAGATCCAGAAGGGCCAAGCAGGTCATGACTCGATCGAAGACGCGATTGCCGTGCTCGACCTTGTGAAGCTGAAATGCGAAAAAGGCGAACGCTGGGGCACCAGTGACGCCTCGTCTGAGAGCATCTTCCGCCGTCTCGCGCGCTCCCCGCGCTCCGGGAAACCATCGGCTGACAGCGAACAGCAAGAAGGCCGTACAGGTGCAGTTGTTGATTGGGGAAACCCGGGGCGCGGGTTCGGCGCACATGCAAACGCCGCCATTGGGTGCAGTGACGACGATGGAATTGTGAAGGGCATTTCGTCCGTTGTAAATGGCGACGAAAGCAACCCCTCCATCCCGCAAGGTGGAGTCGACTTCACCTGGGCCCGTCTACGTGAACTCGAACTCCTCCGCGGATGGTGCAATCGCGCCCCGGACCCGAACAACGCAAACGAATCGACATCCCTAAACCCTTCTCCCGAAGAAACAACACCAATCACTTCCACCGATAACTCAGCATCCGCTGAGCCCAAACTCTCCGACACCGTCTCCCAAACCGTCTCCAACATCTCTCGCATCTACGAATCCCTGCCCCCATGTACACTTCTCATGGTCTACTCTGGCACCGGTGACCCGCGAGAGGTTAGCCGCTTACAAGCCATGCACAGAACGTTCCGCCAGGAGTACAACTCGCGGAAACCGTGGGATGAGTTGAGTGTTAAGTGGACGGATACGGAGGAACAGGCTTTGAAGAAGGCCTGTGATCGGGCAAGAGAGGGTTGTGGGTTTATGTGTGTGAAGTAAGCTATTTGTTTGCAATATGTAACGACGCATATATGGTTTTGGGTAGATACCATGATCATCTATAGAATTTTTGGACTTGACTATCTCTGTCGATAGAATTGATCGATTAGAACCAATCTAGCTAGCTACCACCTATACCTGTACCTGTAACACCAATCCGTACATATAAAATGGCCAAACTTTTGTCGTACTTGTACAACCCCCACGAAACAACAACAGAACCAAGACAATAATACAAGCAGAAATGGTAGAATCGAAGAAAAATAGCTAAATAATACAATTATAGAAGGGCAACTCCATTTCAATCTTATCGAGCCTCCTCCGTCTCCATCGCTTCTTCCCGCTGCATCGCCATCCGCGCCATATAATCCCGCGCCTTTCGTTTCTCCGCCTCTTCCGTATTCTGAGGCGGGTTCTCTTTTTTAGAATCCGTGGCTCCCATGCCTTCTCCTTTGATGATCAAGGGCTCTTGCCCTTTGATCTCGACGGTTGGCGGCGGCGGGGCATGTTCTGGATGGTTCCCGTTTGTGTCTGAATGTCGACTCTTGCGACTGTTTGCTGGCGGGACTGATGGTGCTCTTGATCGGCTACGTGTACTCCGTGGCCGAACTGGTCCGCGTCTTGTTGTGGATTGTTGTTCATCGGGACTGCCGTCCCAGTGCGAGCGCTCTTTCTGCGAGCCACCGCTGACGTTAACGGTCTGCTCATTTAAGGGAGTTTGCTTGGGCGCTAACGGCTTAGGGGTCGTGAGATCGGGTTTTGTGGGTTGAGAAATTGATTTCCGTGGCCGGCCTGGTCCTCTCTTTCCGGGTCCGCCGTTGGATGGAGTTTTATCCACTGACTGGGAAACACGCGGACGCTTGATGATGGCATGTTGCTGCTCGCTGCTATCGCGTGCTGAATCTATCGTATTACCGAGGGTTGGGGTTTGTTGCTGGTGTTGAGGGACTTCAACGTTAAGTCTTGGTGAACCTGGCGTTGATTGTGCATATATCGAGTTTGCCATGTTGCGAGCTTCTTCGGGATCTTTTAATGGGATCTTCATCGACTGCATCGGCGTATCCACCGCGGAGAAATCATCGAAGATGTCTCCTTCATCGTCGAAAGAATCCGCAATAGGCTCCGTGCGCCCACTTGGAAACGAATCTGGCCATGAACGTTTTCTGCTACCATGCAGTATACTTGGACTGTGGACTTGCGGGAGTGCCCCTTCCATGTCCGCCATAGGTAGAGACTGCTTCGCTGCTTGCTCTTCCAAGTACCGGTTTTTCAATTTCACTGCCTCCATTTCCAGTTTTAGTCTTTCGATTTCCTCCGACTTCGACTTGAGTTCCCTTAAAACCGTCGTTATCATATCGTAATCGCTGCTCGAAGGGTTCCCTGTTTCAAGGGAAAGTCGACCAGGACCGTTCAATTCGATTCGAAGCGCGGTGAAAGCCTGTTTCAGTTCCGACATGGTATCATGCAGATTATTGACGGAACTCGAAATGTGATCGATGCTGAAGCCCTGATGTTGGATTTGTCGCGATACAGACACGTCATATCCATCCATTTCTGTCGAACCAGCAGGTATCAGAGCACCTGGCTGGATAGATGTCCGATCCCGTCGTCCTTCTTTAGTCGTCGAATTCAGAATGCGTTCGAGCGCTCCTTCTTTGAATATGGGTTCGACCGTCCGCATCGTCACAATCTCCCTAAATGCCACTTTCGCGAGCTTCCAAAAGATGTTGGGCCTGCAAATTATTAGCCACCCTCATGCGCACATCAATTGCCTCGTCTCTTCCATCCCCTTGCACTTACCCATTCTCCAGTGTACACAGGACACCCAATTTCTGCTGACAGAGCTTGCATGAGATCTCCTGAAGGATGCGACCCCGTAACAAGTTCATATCCGACGACTGCGGCACTTGCTTTTTCTCCGACGAAATCGAAATCCGATGAAGATCGACGCTTAGCCATCCCGCAACGAGGGAGTAGGAATTTGATAGCTTCGCCCAGTCATTTTCGAGCGCAGCCAGCGAACTCGAACATCGAGAACACTGGCACAGAATGGCGGGCCGCGTGAGCCTCGAGAGATCCATGGTGATAAAATAGCGATATATTATAGTAACAGCATTCCCTGCAGCACGCCACACCTGCTGGCGGTTGATGAAGAAGTTGCCGCGCAACTGCGAGGGCGCCCGCAAAAAGTCCAGAGAGATCTCGACTGCTGACTCAGCAGCCTAACAGACACTCTAGTGGGTCGCATTAAGCCTTTTCCGGTAATTGATAGGAGAGTGTCTACGTCATTGGCCTAAAGCGGTTAGGCGGTCAGGAGTGACGGGCATTAGGAGCGTCATGGTATGGTATGGTACGTATGGTAACGGGCCCGGTGCCATGGTGCGTTTAATTAACCTACTCCGTATTCATTACTTACCGTACACCCCGCATTGGCGGTTGCTTTTGATGCAGAAAAGTCACATGGGCCACTTGCATCGAATTGCTTATCTCGAGCTTACCTTTTCTTCTCTGTTTCCCCGCATAATTGGTCGCTAATGAAACAAGCGGTGCGGTGTCTCTCCCGTCCACTACCAGTGTCTCGACCGGTGGTTCCTTGGAAGAGAGGTGGATACGGTCAGAGAATCACCATGGCAAGTGTATCAACGGCCTCTAACGGCGCCAATGGCAAGCCCAATCATTGGCATGGCGCCGGCGCTGCGGAGTTTGACATGAGAAGTGAGTTCCGCTGTGCTTGCAGGTACTGAGCATGCCACTAAAGCGCCAGAGAACCTTAGGCGATACCATGACTAAACCGACCTTGTCGATGCTTGACGCGATCTGCCAGACTACCCTACTCGACGATGTTTTCAACGAGGACCCGGTGACAAACTCTCTACAAGACTATGTGGCAGAGCGGACGAAGCATGAGAGCGCGCTACTGGTCATGTCCGGCACTATGGGCAACCAAGTCGCAATTCGAACACACTTGGTACAACCGCCGTACTCAGTCCTTTGCGACCATCGCTCTCATATTATCTGCTACGAGGCAGGAGGTGTTAGCGCATGGACAGGAGCCACGGTTCAGCCTGTTATTCCAAAGAATGGCATCCATCTTACTCTGGAGGATATCCAACGGCATGCAGTAATCGAGGACGACGACCACTACTGTCCTACGAGACTGGTCAGTTTGGAGAATACTCTGGATGGCATGGTTATGCCTCTCGGAGAAGCTCGTCGCATTGCAGACTGGGCTCATGCGAACAACATCAAAGTACACCTTGATGGTGCGAGGCTTTGGGAGGCCGTGGTTTCCGGGGCAGGGAGCCTGGCAGATTACACTAGCATCTGTGACAGCGTGAGTCTCTGCTTTTCGAAAGGTCTTGGAGCTCCCATTGGTAGTATCATTGTTGGGTCCAAGGACTTTATCAAGAAGGCCCGGTGGTTTCGTAAATCAATTGGCGGTAGTACCCGACAAGCGGGTGTGATTGCTGCAGCTGCCCGGGTGGCTATTGAAGAGACCTTTGGTCCGGATCCATATGGAAAAGAGGGTAAACTTCAGGATGCCCATGTCAAGTCCAGGAGAGTAGCTGCACTTTGGACTAATCGTGGAGGAAAGTTGCTGCACCCAGTACATACCAACATGGTATGGTTGGATTTGGAATCTTCCGGAGTAGGGCCCAATGACCTGTCAGAAATTGGGAAAGAAAAGGGCCTGAAGCTGTCCGGGGGACGTGTTGTCGTCCACTATCGTAAGTACCCTTGACTGTTGGAAGTATTCACATTTATTCTAACCAGCTCACAGAGGTGTCCGACGAGGCTATCGCGAAACTGGAGCAGGTGTTCGATGTGGCACTGAGTGGGCAATATCAACGCAGCAACAACCAAAGTAAGCCGTATGGCACTAGATAATAGCAGTATAGACTCGACAACTGTATTCTCTGTACCACAATAGACCGTTATCGTCGTACTGTAACTCTGCACACTGCACTGTACCTTAAAGTATATCGCGGTCCATAAATGGTAATGCAGTCTGATTGGTCGGGGTTGTTGAGGCCTTAGGAATCCATACGTCAGGTGCCAAGTTGATGTCTGAGTCCGCAACTCAAAATAACTAAAGCGGAAGCTTCAACTAGGCCGACTGCTTGTTTCTCGGACGACGACCTCGACGGGCAGGCAGGCAGACAGCATCGCGTCATTGTCGACTTTCTTTGGTGCATATCAACCTATACTGAAACAACCTCTTTGTCTGTTTATCCTGTGGATGGGCAACACGGACCTGTTCTATTGCGTGAGTTGATCTATCCATCCTCCCTTGTATGGATTGTTTGGAGACCGATAACTGACCCTGCCATCATCTCTACAGGATTACCGATCGTTGCCCCTCCTTCCTGTCGCTTTGTGTGTCCTCCCTTTACCACCTCTTATCTCAATGTTCCAAATCGACTGCACTCGCGATCCAAACTGAGTCTACCGCCAGCGGATCAGGTTGCGACAAGCAGCCTCGTTATCCAGCTCTCAATCCTTGATCTGCCAACGTGACTCGCGCGCCATCAGAAAACTTTCGCGATCTGTTTCCTGTCTCCTACATTGCGAAGTACATACCAATCTACGGGATTTCTCGTTAGGCGACGCAGTACTCCGGCTCGAGATCACACTGAGCAGCTGGGTCTTTGGAACATACATATCCCCACGGTCTTTTTGCTGCAACTTAGTGCCTCTTCCCTTTCGCTTCTCGGCTTATTATTGTTATTCGCATACATTTTTTGCGCCTCTCTTTGTCGCCCTCTACAGTTTTGGTACGGGTGGATTTGTGTACAATCTCTTGTTTTGGATAGTTCAGGCTACTGTCGAGTGAGTGGAATCCAGTCCAAAGATCTTTCTGGTTATCAGTTTGCTAATGCATGAAAGCAAGCTGTGGTCTTTGGACTGTTTCATTGATTGCATTGGCCTTGCAAAAGTCATCGGTTGTCAGCGGAGATACCCTAGCTCTGTTTCTTGCCTCTAGTCGCTCCTTTCTCCCTTTCTTTGTCTTCGGCTATCCGTCTATCTCTTATTCGCCCCCATGGAAGCAACGCAAGAAGCCACCCAGCCATGCACGGATCCACGCCGCCTGGGCCACAACAATTCTGGTCTGCTAGGAGATGATGTGTCGGATGTCATTTGCATTCTACACCCTAACTCGCTCTATGCCCATGATGCAGTGGCTGCGACTGCTAATATCCGCCCCGACCACATCTTGCAAAGGGAAAAGCTGGCATATGAATCCGCCGATACTGCAGCACTAGATATCGCTCTACGACTCTCGTCGAACGTCCGTGACCTAGGCTCTGGCTTTTGCTTTGGCCGCAACCCCTCACGATGCGACATTCTTCTATCAGCCGATGATAGTTCAAAGCGGATCTCCAATTGTCACTTCCGGATTTATCTCACAAACGATGGCATCCTAATGCTCGAAGATACCTCCACAAACGGCACCTTGGTAGACAATAATCGTATCCGCAAAAATGAGGTCAACAGTCGAATGCTCACAAACGGCTCCGTCATCCAGGTGGTGCATGGCCCCCAGGCTTCAGATGAAGTCAGGTTTATTGTTCGAATGCCATCCCGAGATACGTTTGCGATGCAATACACAGAGAACATAGTCCGGTACCTTGAGCGAGTACAGAAGCATCAAACGGGAGTTGCGCAACCTATAACTCGCCAAGGCTCACAGCCTCTGCAGTGGGCGGTCGCCCAGACATTTGGAATGCATTGGACAGGAGGTGCAAAGTACAATATAACCGGACAAATCGGCAAAGGTGCTTTCGCAACAGTTTACAAGCTCGCGACGAAACAGCATGGCATAGTCTTCGCAGCCAAAGAGCTCGAGAAGACTCGTCTATTGAAAACCGGTGCCCAGAAGGTCGACAACGAAATGAGGATTATGCGAGATCTCAAGCATCCCAACATTGTGCAATATGTTGATTATCATGAGCACGACAGATGGATTTACATCATCATGGAGTATGTGCCTTGTGGAGAGTTGTCTACCTACCTTCATAATTGCAGGACAATCTCCGAGCCAGTGGTGCAGCAGATGACTCGACAGATCTTGCATGCGTTGAAGTATCTTCATAATCGCAGAATTACCCATCGAGATATAAAACCAGATAACATCCTCATCTCGTCATTCGAGCCTTTCAGAGTCAAGCTCTCAGACTTCGGGCTTTCGAAAGTGGTGCAAGAAGAATCGTTTCTCAAGACCTTTTGCGGCACGCTTCTGTATTGCGCGCCCGAGGTGTATCCAGAGTACGCAACCTATCGCGCTGGTGAAGTTAGGAAGAGGCGTCGGTTTGGTGATCCGTAAGTTACTTTGAACTATCTACTTCGTTGCTTCAAAATGTCCTCGCTGACTGAAATAGGCCGCCCAAAACGACACCGTATGACCAATCCGTGGATATATGGTCATTTGGTGCTGTCCTCTATCATATCCTGGCTGGAGTTCCTCCGTATATGGGCTCAGCCGAAGATAGAGGCTCCAAGATGCTACGGGTTATCATGACAACTGACCCAGACTATGATCGCCTTCGCCAAGCGGGCATTTCAGAAGCTGGTATCGATTTCGTTTCCCGGCTCCTGAATCGTGACCCGCACTCCCGGCCCAATGAGCGAGAGTGCTTTCAACACCCGTGGATTGCCAATGTTGAAGACATCGATGAATACGAAGACGACGATGTTCAGCCCAACGACTTTGGAGGAGCTCTGTCGGACATCGGCGAGGATATCGAAGGAGAACTAGATGCATCTCAACTCTCACTCGACGAGGATGCAGAGGAACCCGATTCAGCTGAGGGCAACCAGCTGGCCCAGTCAAAACGACCTCGAATTGACAATCCCCCGGCAGATATTCGCTACCCATCGCTCCCGGCCCTCGAAACCCTGAATAATATCCAGCCTGGTCCAGAGAATACACCTAAGCGTCTGTTCGGCGAAATCACCCCGGCTGCTCTCCCCAGCTCGCACGCATTGGGTGTGGGTGCCAGTATGGAGGCCTACGATGGCGACGACTATAATGTTCGTGACTTCTATTCCTCAGCCGGTGAGTCGATGATTAGCGACGCCAGCAGCCTAAACTCTGTCATCCCCCTTCCCGAATTCCCTTTTGGCGGTTCTGCCCCAAGTTTGATGGGTGCTGAGAACCAAGTTCGGCAGTTAAAGATGAACTCGTCCCAACCAGACATATTCACGGGAGTCGAAATACCAACGAAACGAACTAGTCCAGCTGACAAACACGAGGCCCCGACAGGTGGGAACGTCCCAACCCCAGGTCGAGCGAGCCGCAGCCAATCAACCCCCAAAGCCTCGAAATTTAGTCGTCGAATTGAACTCCCCCTTCCCGACAGCGCCAGCAATAGTTCCAGCAACGGGAGCAAGCCAGCAAGTATCGAAAGTCACAGCAAATCATCTACCAAATCACCTACTACACCAGCCGCTGCGGCAGCAGTTAATGATGAACTGGCTGTCACACTTGATGCTCGAACCGGAAAAGAAATCCCCATTCCCTCCGCCCCGAATTCCCAGCCCCAGTCCGACTGTATTCCCCCTGAGCTTAGTATTCCCCGAACCATTCCCCCTCTACAGTCTCGCAAAAATCGGCCTTTGCTGGGAAAGCTGACAAGCGTTCCGGGCTCCATTCTCGACATTGCTATCCGTTTGGAAACCCGAATGACATCTTGGGGACGTGGCCCGCTGGCAACCGTTTGCTATACAGATCCCTTGGACACCCGCATACCTGCCTACGCCCTGGAAGTGACATTTTGGACCCCAGCCATTGAAGCACGGATCGCGGCCGGGGATGACTGGATGGCCATTCCTGGAGTGATGGCAATCCTTTCCACGAAGACACGCAACTGCATTTGGGTCAACGACACGGAATTACGGCGCGGTGACGAGAATGGACGCCCGGGGCTTCAGTTTGGAAAGCTATACACTGGAGATATCATTACCGTTTACAAACAACGCAACAAGTTTCTCAAACTCCAATGCGAGTTTTACCATGGCGATAGTGCCCGTCCACGACCAGACCACGAGAAAGGTTTCACCGTTCGCAAAATCTTGAAGTCGAAGAAGGAGGATACAGGCGCCAATCGTCAACCGGTGCAGAAGAAAAACAACTTGAAAAAATAAACTTGGGATTGTCCATGCACAGAGGACTTATCTTACGGCTGTTTGTTCTCTTGACTGATGTATCCCGTCCTGTCTCTACTCTTTTTGGGCATGGTTTTTTGTATTTGCATTCTCTCTCCTGTTTGGATGTGCCACGTCTGAGACTGGATCGAGTTATGAGTGATGACTGCATACATATCCATAGAAAAAAGTACATAGTTTGGGATCCGAGGTGGTAAATAACAACCTGCAGATGGCTTGATTAATGTTGTTTCATCAATCCCCCACATCCATGCGGACGGTATTTAAGGTCGCATTTAGGGTCCAGTGCTTCATGTAGTTGTATGGCCGTTTCAACCCCTTTTACTATTGTACCACGGTCCTTTACTTGAATTGGTTACTCTATTGTAATTTGCCGGGTAATAACGGTTATCGCTTCTTTCATGTCCAAGTTGTGCATCGTTCTTTCCTTTTCGGTGGTCGACTGTTACATCTTGCTTCGATATATATCACCATTCTCCCTCACCATGAACTTTTGCGCCCACGCTCCTTATACCCAACTGTCGACATTCGTTTTTGGAGCCTATTCCTAATTATTATACCATTCGCTCGTTATAATATTTTTTCAAACGATCCTTTACGCTTCCTGCGGCGGCCAATCATCCGCCATGTCTCGCTCGCGCTCACCCTCCCCTGCACGTTCCAAAGCCGGCTGGTCAACTCCCAGCCTGGCATCTCTAACCTCTCGAAGCGGCACTTCCTCCCCGAACAGCGGTATCTCTACACCTATCTCGATAGGGTTCAGTGGGATATCCTGGGAAACGGCCAGAGCCAAAAGCGACGAAGTACGACGGAACAACGGCTTCTTCTTTTCGAGGTCGAAGAACAACAAAGAAGTCTCACCCTTGCCGCTATTCCAGACGGAGAAGTTGGAGAGCGAGGGCTTTTATGTGGATAAGGATGATGTTGGGCGGGAGAAGTATAAGAGCAGTTCGCATGGATGGGGGCGGCGGCTGCTTGGGTTTCTTAGGAAATTGCTGCGGAGGAGGACATTACGGGTGTTGACAACGCTGTTGATTCTGGGTACTATGGGGCTCTTGTTCTTTTGGACGTGTGAGTGCTACCTGGCCTTGTCACTTTTGATTTTGCATGACTGATGAATTCCTAGCCGTGGTTGACAGCTATCGGCGGTCACTTCTGGGCGGAGGACCTAAATTCGTCGTGATAGTTGGATCGAACACTGAAGGTGGTGTTATGGCGTTGAAGGGTGCACGTGAATGGGCGATCGAGCGCAACAGCATCTGGAATAAACAGCAATACGCCAAGCGATGGGGGTACGAGGTGGAGGTTGTCAATATGATGGCTCAGAAACGCTATTCGCACGAATGGCGAGAGGGTTGGGAAAAGGTTGACCTTATTCGCGATGCTATGGACAGGCATCCGGATGCGGAGTGGTTGGTATTTCCCTTTTGACTCCATGTTCATTGCTAACGCGTCCTAGGTTCTGGTGGTTAGACCTGAACACATGGATCATGGAGTCCTCGTATTCGTTGCAAGACCACATATTCAACCGGCTAGATGCCATTTCCTACACCGACATCAATACCTACAATCCTGCCAACATCGGCCCTCCTCCATTCTCATATCCGCCAATCAAGAAACCCCCAGCCGACTTGATACTGACCCAAGATTGTGGAGGGTTCAACCTGGGATCCTTCTTCATCCGACGTTCTAGATGGACAGACCGCTTGCTAGACGTCTGGTGGAATCCTCTTGTTTACGAGCAAAAACACACAGAATGGGAGCACAATGAGCAGGATGCGTTGGAATATCTTTACGAAAAGCACCCGTGGATCCGTAACGGCGTTGCCTTCCTACCCCAGCGGTTTATCAATTCGTTTCCGCCGGGTGCGTGCGGCGATGGTGCTGACCCTAAAATACACTACCAGGAGGATGACCATGATTTTGTGGTTAGTATGGCAGGATGTCAGTTTGGTCGTGACTGCTTGAGCGAGATGAAACGATTCAGTGGTCAAGGCACTCAACTTCAAGTTCAGAAGCGCTGCATTGATAGCATAAAGGATTTCTTCCGCAAGATATTCAAGCATGGCGGCGAGCAGGAAAACCATCAAAAAGCCGTGGTCACGCCGTGGCCGTCAACCTGAGCCGTCGCTGGGTACGATTTACGATTTGACGATATCTTTACGGACTGCTTCTGTTTCTGTCATCTTGACAGCTGGTAGTGTCCCTTATCCATACCTTAATCTTGTATATAGCCTGTATTATTAGGGGTGTTTATAGTGGCAATGACAAGGATTCTGGTCAATTCCTCGCTCATTGTAGGGCCTAGAGTTACCATTTCCGGAACATTATGTGTACACAAAGTTGACTAAGCTAAATACACAAATTGCACAATGACCACTCACCGCCCTGGAAAATAACCAATCATGGAAAAGCAAATGCGCATTTCACCTCCGCCGCCGGCACCCATCAAGACCTCATCCAACTCCGTCCGAAGCCCAGGTAGTGAGTTTCCCTGAAACCCCCAAAACGAAACCGAACCCCCAGCTCACCTCCCCAGCCGAACCGAAAAACCAAAATGCCAACCCTCGAGTCCGAAGCCTTCAAGGCCAAGAAGCCCACCGTCCCGCCGACGTACGACGGCGTCGACTACGACGATAACGTTGCCGTCCACAATGCCCGCGACGCGGTTATCCGGGAGCAATGGGTGCGCAGCATGATGTCGCGTCTTGTCGGGGAGGAATTGGGGAAGTGCTATTCTCGCGAGGGGGTGAATCACTTGGAGAAGTGTGGTGTTTTGAGGGGTGAGTTCCTTCTCCCAGTGTCCGGGTTGCGTTGGATGGGAACAGGCAAAGGAATCCATGTGGGTAAATGGACGTATGCTAATGGGCACAGAAAAATACTTTGAACTCATCGGCGAGCGCAAGATTAGGGGATACCTTGGACAGGAGAAGAACTATTTCACGGAGAAATAAGCGGGCTTTTTTTTCTATGTTTTATTGAATAAAAAACGGATTCCTCTTCTACGTCTTGTCTGTTTTATGGTATTTTGTCGGGTTATTTAGCTTTTCGAATTCATGGACCGGATTCATATCATTTGAGAACCGCTTCTACGACGACTATATCGGACGATCGGATGGTATGGATGGTTTATCGGGTGCATGCTGTCTCGTGTTGAGGTGTGCGTGAGGAATCTGGGGAGGTTTGAGAATGAGGACGAATGGTGTACTTGTACTGTACATATATCACTACAACACAGGGCTTTATCAAAGTTACGAGCTCAAGATATGGTCTTTCCGTGCTCTATAACCAAACATGAATTATAGACTCCAACTAGATCGTTATATAGCAGTAGATACAACATATGGGTATCAATAATAAGCACTCTCATGCTCAGCACGTTTATCTGTATCCCTCACATCAACAGCAGCTTCCTCGTCACTGTCATCTATATCGCTTCCTGGTCCTATCTCGTCATCTCCCGGCGGAGCACGCATCCGCACAAGCTCCTCTTCATCCAATGATGGAAGCTTGTAAGGACCAGGAGGGGAATGGATATCTCGACCGGAGGGCAAGTTCGTTAGAAGGTCCGTCGATTGGGGGACCAGTTGCGTGTTGATCTGGATATCCTTAGTTCGGCTTACCAGGACTGAAGGTAGTGAAGGGGATCATACTGTATCATTCATCCTAACCCATTTCGTTTCCAACATCTCAATAACTCGCCCCTCCTCTTCTCTCCCAGCATTATCACCTGGATCAAGCTCACTCATCTCCCCCCGATCCCGACTCCCAGCATCCTTCTCCATCTTCCGCTCTTCCCTCCGTTCCGACCATTCCCGTTTCAACCTGGAGAACCCTCGCTCCCGCTTTGCAGAGCCTTCCATCAAACTCGGTGGTCCAATCCTCAAACCTAAAGCACTCTTCGCCGCTCGCAACCAAGCAATCCCCTCCCCAACCTTCCCACCTAACTCCGCATCGACCCCAAAGAACCGACAAGCTCTCGCCCGGGCCACACGCCCCAGCACGCGCGCATACTTAACCAAATCATCTTCAATCCCGCCTTTCCCTTGTGCACCCACAGCACCTAGTCCGGCAGTCGCCTGCTCCGCGTATTCGGCGGCGCGGACACATAACCGCGCAAAAAGCATTGCGCGGACCTTGGGGATCTCAGCCGCGCGCACCATCCAATCCTTATCATTGGGATTGCGCGTCTGGATACAAATCGCGACGTAGGAATCATCCTTTAACACAGCTAGGAGTGTTGCCTCTGCTAGTACGAGCGAGGAGAGAGCTGATTGCGTTGCGGGGTCGAGATCCGGTACACTGTTTGGCGCCGTGCCAGTTGACGAAGAATATGTGGAGAGGAAAGTATGTACCGCGCTAGCTTGTAGTAGGTATTTCGTAGCTGTTTGTACGGCTGCGGTGCGTTGCTCGGGTGCCGGGGTCTTCGTGGCGTATAGCGTCCGGACGACGGTAGAGTGCGCCATGTTACTCAGTACATATCCCAGCGTCGTTACGGTAAATGCAATCTCGAAATCAATGCCATGGCCTCGGACACGGCCGGCACTCGTGCCTTTGCCCTTTATGGGCAGCGAAGGGGTAGTGGAGGACAGTGTGGCGCGCCATTCGGACTCGAGCTCGGCGCGGAGAGTTATCTCAACTTCCTCTGTATTATTTCCGATAGTAGTTCCGCTCAATCCATTCGAAATAGCAAGGAGGTAGGGCAGGTAATCGTTCAAGGCGTTGAGGACGGTGATCAAGTGGGCGTCTTGTTGCGGGCCGCGGGGTAAGCGTTTATGGGCTTTGAGGGCGACGCGGAGCGCATGGCGGGCTGTTGAGGCGACTTGTGGTAATGAGGGATGAGTGTTGGAAGAGAGGAATGTCTGGAAGGAAAGGTGTGAGGTTGTTGGGAGGATGAAGCCGTAGACCATGGTGGTTGATGGCGGAGGAGGAAGTTGGATGGGGATGGTTGGGTTGGGCTGATGTCACCGCAGCCAAGAAGATACCAGGGGTATGGGGTATTTTTCTGCTACTATTGACTAATATGAAAGGTTTATGCGATGATTAATCTATTTATTGCTGTGTTCGTGGCTCGTCTATGGTCATAGAGGTAGATACAGACTGGACATGATAAATCCTTCTGTAGACAAATCCCCGGGCATTGGGGTACTTCCTCAGTCCTGCCCGGTCTATATCTATTCATGGTATAATCACACCGTCCTCCTGTTCTCGACTCGGCTATTTAGTCACCAGGAGTTCCCTGCACATAACGGATCCGTTGGCAAGTCCGGGGAAATAGTCCGTAGTTGGGCTGACGGTGACTCGTACAAGCAGAACGACTGGAAGAGCCTAGAACGTAGGTCGAATCGAATGGGTATCTTCGAGATGCGTTTGTTTGTCGATGTCCTGCACGTTCTTGTCGAAAATGTCGTGTTGACAAAATTTCAAAATCCTCCCATCGCTTCTCACACATCCATCCCCTCAGCTTCCGACAGATTACTAGGAGCACTGCTCACAGCCGATGTGTCACTCCCAACCCTGTGCCCCGGCGTCCTTGAACGCGCCTGCTGACTCCATTCCCGAATACTAGGAACACCACCCTCGATGACAATAGGATGCTCCTCAGCACTCTTCCCAAGTACAGTCCCCGCATATCGTGACTCCTCACCCGTCTTACTGTGCTTCTTCTTCAACGCCGTTAAAAAGTCCTCCTTCTCAAGCGAATCCGTATCAATCATATCGCCCTCACTGGGTACGAAGCCCGCAATACGTCGAATTTCACGATTCGTCGGACCCGAGAACCAGCTCAGGAACGCGTCCAGTCCACGTGTATCCTCCTCTTCTTGCCAATCTTCTTCCCAATCCCGTAACTGGGGGCTTAATGCGCCAGTATCTTGTAATGCTTGGTATATGTCTTCGAGGACTGGGATCGGGTCACCGGGGTGGGCGTTGGCGGCATGAGCAGCTGCGGAGGAGGAGAGAATCATGAGATAGTTTGCGACGAGGTCTGTGAGGGTATCGAGGACTGAGGGACGGGTTGCGTGGAAACCAGCGGCGCGTAGGATTTGAATGATGGGCGGGCGAAGGAGAGCGTTATGAAGGTTTGGGGTGGACATGGTGGTGTAGTAGAAGCTGCAACGTAGTAGAAAACGTGTATTTGCGAAGAAGTAGTTACGATAAATATGTGCCAGACAAATAGAACGCATGCAAAGACAACATATGGTGGTGAATAGAAGGTCAATTGAATGATGGTCGTGGTTGGAAAGGCGGACAATCTCTTTTCTTCCGGCGACTCTCCGCCCCCGTCATTCTTCGTCTTTCTCCACGCCAACAACGCATCACTTGAATACTTTTTAACCAGCAAGAGTCTTATATATTCTTGCTATCGCCATGTCCGAGACTCCTCGACCTTCTCTCAAGCTCACTTTGGGCAAGAAGAAGGCCCCGGAGGAGAAGCCGAAGCCTCAGAAAGCGCCCGCGCCTGCGCCCGCGACCCCGTCCAGCGAACCTCGCAAGCTGACCTTGAAGATCGCCCGCAAAACAAAAGAGAACAATGACGAAGAGAAGCCAAAGAAGAAGCCCTCGAAAAAGCGACCAGTGGAAGCACCTGGTCTTCACGAGCCTACCGCCGTAGCCCCCTCCAGCGCAGGGCCGAAACGACTGAAGCTGAACCCGTCGAAGAAGCCAGGCGTGCAGTCGATCCGGATTAAAAACAAAGGGCTGGTCCCTACCCGGCCGGTTGGCGTTGGATACGATTCTGAAGCTTCGGATAATGAGGCAGATCCGGCTATTGAGGAACAGTTCATTCTACGCATGCTTCCTGGACCCGACTGTGATTATCTACGAAAAGCGGTCGAGGAGCGGCTGTTTGACCGGTCAGAGTTTTGCTTCAAGCCGCTCACGCGAGAAGGACGACGCGCTGTTATTAAAATCCGCGACAAGCAGTATGCCGCGGCACTGGTGGATCTGCCATGCATCGTCGAAGGCATGAAGAGTTGGGACAGGAGAGGGTGGTATAAGTCTGCGGATATCTGCCAGATGCTTCTAGTCCTGGGACTGGTAGCCAATGATAAGGAAGCTTTGGAGTATCCGATACCGTCGGATGTTGAACAGCTGGATGAGAAGACCCTGCGGTACCCGCACGGGCTGACGCCTCCGCTACGTTGGGCGAGGAAGCGACGGTTCCGCAACCGGGTCAGCACACGGACGATCGAACAAGTGGAAAATGCTGTGAGTGATTTGATCGAACAAGACGAAGCCTCGGTTGCGCCGCCTCGGTATGAATTAGTCGACAGCGCGTCACTCAATCGGGCCGAGGGACTGGTGCAGAGCGGAGATTACTACGAGGACGAGTACTACGATGATGAACAAGATGCAGAAGGTGAGGTTGATGAAGGTATGCCGGGGATGACAGGTGGCATGGATGATCTTGAAGATGCCCTCGCTGCCGAGATGGAGGCTGCTCTGGCTGCTGGGGCAGAGGACGAAACGACGGGTGCTGCCGCGGCCGCTCCACCAGATCGCGGTGTATATGAAGCAGGAACACCGACAGTTCCCAAGCCCCAGTCACCAGCGGCAGAGTCGTCTGGCGATGAGAGTGAGATGTCCGAAGGCGACGAGGAAGACGTGCCCGAGGAGGAAATGGATGAGGAGCAATTAGAGCAACAGCGACAGTTCCAGCAACGGCGCGAAGAGATTGCCGAACTCGAGGCCTTGATTAGGTTGGAAACTGTCAAGTGGGAGCAAATGATGAACCAGATCCTGAAGAACAAACTGGCCAAGCGGATTCAAGACTTGAAGAAAGACCTGTCCTTGAGGAAGGTGGCGATTGGAGAGGGTGACGATATGGACTAATGTTTCTCTGCTTTCTTTGGCATTTATACCCCGGAATTTACATTATGTTTTAATTTGCATATCTCAAGAGACTGAATACATGAAATGACAGCGCTTTATCTCCCCACCACCGGATCCCCAGTTGCCTCTCTAACCGCATCTTTCACATTCAACCGTTTATCCAACTCCAACGTCTGCTGTCTGATATCCGCCAACCCCTCAGCTGGCTCCGGCGGACTCTGCCCAACCCGATCCCCCAACACCCGATCATGCTCCTCCCTCTTCCTCCCCAAATCCCTCATCTGATCCTGCCCCCCATCCCTATCCTCCCCAAACCCCGAATACCCAGGCCCAAAAGCACTCCCGACAGGACCAGAATGCGCACCCGCCTGCGTCCGCGCACTGCTTCGAGTGCCCTTCTGTTGGACCGCGTCCGCGATAGCCCCCTCGGCGGGTTGCTGCTCAACGCCGTATTCGAGATCGATGTCCGGAGCACCTTGTTTGCGGGCTTGTTCGCGCTGGTGGTCTGCTTTTAGGCTGGCGAGCGTTTCGTCGCTTGAGGGTTTGGAGTTTGCTGTGCGGTGGGTTGTGCTGGTGTTTGGGACCGGGTCGCCTCTTTGGCGGGTCTGTTCGAAGGGGTTGTGGGTGATGGGGTTGGAGGATTGGTAGTAGGTGGCTTGTTTAGGGGGTTGTTCTGTTTTCATTTTCTGCGCTTAGAGAGTAATATAGATTTCTATTTAGAGTATGTAGAGGTGAATGGATGTATGTTTCTATCTCTAGGTTAAAGTAGAGGCGAGACCTGATACGTACATGACGTCATGTAGATTAGACTTGTTCTATAACAGCAACATAGTACAGCATCCTGATAAGCATAGCATACATCTAGAATACGAACTTTCTAATATAGATCAACATCACAGGATGAATTGACATTCGGCGCTCTAGATATAGTCGCTTATCTGACCCAAGCATGTGATGCCGCGGAAGACAAATAACCGACGATGCGCCTATAACAACAACGAAACCACTACAATCCCATCTCACTACCCGCAATCAGTGTAACCACAACACACAAACCAGGAGTAAACAATGGCAACTCTATTCACAATCCCCATCCCTGCCACGGGGGGCAGCATCGTCTGCTCGAACCCGACCTCTTCGAACGAGGACAAGAACATCTATGTCCTCGCATTCGCATCAGGGAAGGATAACCGGCTGATTCCCGCGTTTATCGACGCGCTGCTGCTTGCGCTTGATATAATTGAGCACCGGTATCCGAAGGGTGTGGTTGTGACGACGAGCGGGATCCAGAAGTTCTACAGCAATGGATTGGATTTGGAAGTTGCGATGACTACGGAGGGATTCACGCAGAAGTGGTTGTGGAAGTTGTTTCGGCGGTTTTTGACGTGCGTCTCCCCCTCCCCCTTTTATCATATAATAAATTTATATGCTGATATCTATGACAGCTATCCCATGCCAACAATCAGCCTGTTGAACGGCCACTCCTTCGCCGCCGGCTTCATGCTCGCCATGTACCACGACTACCGCATCCAAAACCCGTCCCGTGGCTTCCTCTGCATCAACGAGCTCGACTTTGGCGTCCCCCTCCAAGCCCCCATGATGACCATCTTCCGCGAGAAGCTCACCCCGCCGACATTCCGCGACGTGGTCCTGGGTGCGAAGCGATTCCCTGGTCCCGAGGCATTGCAGCGCGGTGTTGTTGATGGGGTCGGGGAGTTGGAGGAGGCGGTGAAGTTTATTAAGGAGAGGGGGTTGCAGACGAAGGCAGAGACGGGGATTTATGGGACTATGAAGGAGGAGATGTATCGGGAGTCGTTGGGGATTTTGGATGATGATAAGGGGAATTTGGAGTGGAGGGAGAGGGTTGAGGAGAGGAATGATGTGTTGAGGGAGGAGGGCCGGAAGAGTGTTAAGGTGTGGGAGGGGAAAGCTAAGTTGTGAGGTGTATAGTCTAGTGATAATGGATATCAGATAAACAAACCCTGTTGAGATAAAGAGAAGAAATGTGTAATGTTCATTGTGATGCCTTCACTGCAAACCAGCCAAACCCTAATCACCCAACAACCTGAGCTTCCCTGTGAATTCAATTTAATACAGTCAACAATACCTCACAAGTTCAAATCCCACAATGCCTCTACCCTATTCCAATATTCCAAAATGCCCCAGGTACATTTTCCTCTCAACAGTAACTCCTTTTGTTATTTATTCTCCATCTAACAACCCTTTTCGTCTAGACAAGCAGAAACGGCAACGACGAAATGAAACGAAGCATCCACGACACCCAAATCGAACCCCCTGAGCCGTTGTTTGCGTCGACTATGTCCATGTCTACTGTTCAGAGAGCTCAACCGAAGGAGTTTCGCGATTCTTGTCTGTCAACAGAGGGCTACTGGAAGGAGAAGGCAAGTAATTTGCAGAACGCGTTCGCGGCTGGTTCTGATATGAATGGGCAGCCTCAGCAGCAGATGGTATGGTATTGATTAAGGCTATGATTTCTGGAAGAAGGTTTGCTCATTGGACTAGAATACCCTATCCGACCAAAGCAATCATGGCTCAGAAGACCTACCAAGACCTCGTCCGATGGTGTTGAATCTGAGCACGGTAAGCCATTACCACCATGCCCCAATATCCGTCCAATTACACCAATACTAAACCTCTACTCGCCAGACCCGCCCAAACATCCCCGCCATCCAAATCCAAATCCCATCCCCCTCAACAAACCCCATCACGCCCAACACCAAGCCCTCCAGCAAACCCATAACTAACCCACCCCTTTCTGGCAACGCCATCTCCCATATCCTCCAACACACGAAGCCCGATTGCCCCAAAGCGCAAACCTGGATCACAGCGCAGAGAATCAGCGAGGAGACGAAACAGTGTCTTGCGCAGAGGATCGGATGTCTTGGTGTGACTGAGCGTGGGATTTTGGAGAGGAAGATTGCGGCGAGGCTTGCTGAGAAGGCGCGGCAGCAGGGTGGTGTGGGTTTGGTGCAGGGGCAGGAGCAAAATCAGGGTAAGAGGGTGGAGGAGTGGGTGGAGGGGAATTTGACTGCGCAGCAGAGGGTGAAGAGGGCGAATGTGAGGCTTCAGAGGGCGGTTGGGTTGGAGTAGTTTTTTGTCGTTGTTGTATCTTGAGAGGAGGGTGTTGGGATCGCTGGGATCTTATTTTGATAAACCCGTTTAGTCCAATAACGCCTAATGTACATGGATAACAAGAGTGACGAGCCTGCCCAGGGGTTTTTCACGATTGACAGCCCTAGATTGAAGCTCTTTGGCAAGAATAATCTCATGCAGGCTCAATTCCTCCTGCATGAAACCATCCTGGTCAAAGGGTTCGAACCCCGGATTGTCAATCGCAAAAAACTCCGGGTCCGTGTTAATAAACACCATAAATGCAAAAATTCTTCATATCTCATAGCAAACACCACCAGCGTTCACTCACTTCCTGCCCCTGCCAGCTCCCGTCGCTCTCCCAGGAGTCTCCAGCTTATCCACCAACGGCCGATACGGCGAAGCTAGCACATGCTCCGGTGCTCTCTGCGTCAAATCCTCCCGTAGCGGCTCGCCAGCAGACGGGCGTCGTAACTGCTCCGCATGCATTTTATCCAACGGCTCGCCCACGATTTGATACTTGGCCCAGTTAATGGGTGGCATACGGACGACATTCTGTGGCGTTGGGAATGTTCCAAGGTTCGAAAAGACATCACCCTCTCGCCCTTCTACCCCCTCATCACCCGCCATTTCCTCATCATCGTCCTCGTCCTCGTCCTGGTCGGCAGAGAGGTTTAAATTGATGAAACCCCCCTTATCCTCCGCCTTCAGATTCCCACTCGTCAACTCCCTCGCAAACCGCTCCGGATCCGCCGCCGCAGCCTTCTTCATCCTATCCAACGCCCGCATATCCCTCAAACTTTGCTGCTTCTGTAACTGTAGAATAGATATTGCTGAGCGTAATGCGATAACATCCGGATTATCACTTTCGGAAATAGGGCCTATTGGAACAGGGGGTGGTGGCTCGGTGGCGACTTCCGGTCGCGTTCCTGTTCCTAATCCGGTTTGCTCATGATTTTGCGGAGGGAGGGCTGAGAGTGTTGCTGCAGTTGCTGGCGATATTGAAGAAGAGGAAGATATTGGTGGAGGGACGATGGGATGGCCTAAGTGGCCGTTTTGAACGGGGGCGATTTGGGCGAAGACGGGTGTTACAGGGGAGTATGGGGGTGGCGGGGGAGTGCCTGAGCGGGCATCGTTGTTGTGATTAATGGTATTTCTGGTGTTTTGTATTTGTTTCTGTGCTTGTTGTTGTGATTGTGGTTGTTTGTGTGGTTGATTTGGGGGAGATTGCATTTTGAGAGAGGGAGTGAGGAGGAAGAGGATCGGTGAGATGGAGGCGCTGGATCGGGGTTTATCAACGGGGCGCAGCAAACAACAAAGAGCGCTGTCAGGCACAACACGAATATGATATGCAGGGGTATATGTTTTTCTGACTTGTTTATTTCTGTTCTAACTTTGAATATTCCAAATATGTTCAGGGATCAAGACTATGTACTCCGTAAAACGCCGTAATGTATCAGACTTTATCCTTATCTGATTCCCCACAATCATCCGATGCCCGCAGAATCTCACCGCCCAAGAAAAAAAAAAAAAAAGTCCATCCTTCCAATTCAATACCTCAACCCCCTTCAACCATTTCCAAAATGAAGCGCAAGACAGGAAGAGAATCGCAGGGTGCCAATGGCCAGCCCGACTCCAAGAAGCGCGCGTTGTCGAACGAAGAAGCGGCCACGCGCTTTCGTGATGGTCTGTTTGACGGTGCGGAGCTGCAAAAGTACACCACGGATTATGCCAAATCGAAGCCGTATGTCTCTATGTACAGGTAGACTAGATCATTTTCTAATTGCTGCTGTATAGGTACCTACATGGCGTGATCCACCCCGTATTCAACGATTCCCTACTGCGATCGGTCCGCGACGAAATCCAAGAACATCTCCACTTTACCGAAAAGGAAACGGACATTTACAAGATCTTCCAATCGGGCGACTTGGCCAACCTGGATGGTTTGGACGATGCGTCTCTCTCGCGACTCCCATCGGTGCTGAAGCTCCGCGATGCCATGTACTCGCAGCGATTCCGTGAGTATCTCTCCGGAGTGACCGGGTCAGGCAAGCTGAGTGGACGCAAAACGGACATGGCCATTAACGTCTACAATGAGGGATGTCATCTACTGTGCCACGACGATGTCATCGGAAGCCGTCGTCTGAGTTATATTCTGTACCTGACCGACCCGGATACCCCATGGCAGGCTGAGTGGGGTGGTGCGCTGCGGTTGTACCCCACCACGACGGAGAAAGATGTCAACGGGGAGGACGTGAAGATCCCCAGTCCGGACTACAGCCTCAGCATCCCACCGGCGTTCAACCAGCTCAGTTTCTTCACCGTGCAACCCGGTGAGAGTTTCCACGATGTCGAGGAGGTGTACCATCCCAAGGAGGGGGAGGACAAGTCGAAGAAGCGCGTGCGTATGGCAATTAGTGGCTGGTTCCACATTCCCCAGGAGGGCGAGGATGGATTCGAGCCGGGTCTGGAGGAGAAGCTTGCGGAGCGCAGCAGTCTGGCTCAGTTGCAGGGTCGTGGTGACATCTACGACCTCCCGCAGCCGCAGACAGTCGTGTACGATGAGAAGCCAGCGGACGAGGACAAGGGCAAGGGCAAGGGTAAAGGAAAGGCCAATGACGAAGACGAAGAAATGACCGGAAACGAATTCACCGAATCGGATCTCGGGTTCTTAGTGCAGTACATCAAGCCGTCGTACCTGACCCCAGACATTGCGGAGGAAATGTCAGAAACGTTCAGCAACGAGTCATCCCTTAGCCTTGAGCGTTTCCTGTCAGACAAGTTCTCCGCTCGAGTGCGGTCATACATCGAAGAGCAGGAAAAGCAGGGTCTGCCCCCGTCAGCAGAGGAGATCCATGCGCAGACGGGGTGGGCGGTGGCTCGACCACCGCATAAGCAGCGATATGTGTATAAGCAACCATCGGTGGCGGAATCTAAATCGCCGATTGACGAACTGCTGAACGATCTGTTCCCGTCGCCGGCGTTCCGGAAGTGGCTAACGCATGTTACGGGATCTGACCGATTGACGAGCCATAATGTGCTGGCCCGGCGGTTCCGTCACGGACAGGACTATACATTGGCTAGTGGTTACGATGGCGAGGAACCACGCCTGGAGTTCACTCTTGGTCTGACCCCGACACCGGGATGGGAGAAGCAGTCTGATGAGGAGGAAGAGAATGAAGACGGCGAGAACAAGAACGGCGAATCCGCAGAAAGCAGCGAACCCAAGGCTAAGGCCAAGTCTGAGGACGACGATGACCTAGTTGTTGGAGGCTACGAACTCTACATGGCTGGTGATGGAGACGATGAGGAAGATGCAGCGATCTACCGTTCCGCCGATGCCGATGAAGACGACGGGATTTTACTCACGACTGCAGCGGGCTGGAACCGACTCAGCATTGTGCTGCGGGATCAGGGGACACTGAAGTTTGTCAAGTACGTTAGTGCAGCGGCCAAGGGCGATCGGTGGGATATTACGGGAGAGATGGGGGTTGAATACGATGACAATGATGACGATGAGGACGAGGAAAAAGAGGAGGAGGATGATGATGATGAAGAGGGGGATGACGATGAAGAGGGAGACGATGAGGAGTAATGTACATCAAGAATAAAAAGGTTACTCAAGCAAGGGCAAGCAGACCAGATACCACACAATCACCTCATCGTTTGTTGTCTGCAAGGATGTAGAGTAGTGTACCCCCAGCCATCCATGTTAATCTGTACGACTCGACCAAAGTGAAATGACCAGTCGACGGTACACTGCAGGTCACACACTCTTTGTCTCCGCTGTGAGTACTCCATACGGGTACTGGCTCTACCAATGGCAGCCGACCACGCAATTCCTCAAAACTAGACTCTTAACCGGTACTTTGGAGCATCCTTACTACTATTACTAGTACTCCAACTCGGACCAGTCAAGGTCGACCGTTCATGTGGAGCGCTGATCGCCACGTGATGGATGTCTTCTCCATCGATACAGTGCCATTACCCGTAATGACAATACCGTACAGAAAACGTGTTGACCTCGTGATTCCAACCTTTTTTGCAGTGGCCCGGAGGCGTGTAACCCGATTGGTCGGTTAATGAACGATCGACCCCCCGGCGGTTGGGTTGCCCCACTTCCCGTTCATCCAGAGCCTAACCGTTTCGGGTAATACTGTATTCTACACAAAGAATATGCAGTGTTATTAAAGACTGCGGATGGACAATAAAGAATATTGCCGATGATTGATATACATAAGAAGTAGGAGAATAGTTGTATCGATTTGAAATCTCGCAGTCTAGAATCACTGGACTCAATATCGAGCACAGACTCGTTCCCGCATCTGAGACGCCGATCGGGTAGTGCAGTGGAGCGTACCTGGCAGTCTCCTCCAGAGGGGAGGGACTCTGCGGACTCTACACTTGGAACTCAGACTCGGACCTCACACTTTAAAGAATTTAAATGTCATAAACTTATCCATACAGTGTCTCTGTCTGTAAGAATAATACCGAATCTTGACTCGAAATACAGACCCATTACTGATCTGCAAACGAATCACTCGGCAGCTGCAGACACATGGCAACACACGCGACTGACAATTCCTATTAATATTTTCGTAGAGAGTAGCATGTGTGTTACCGTACAGCCAGAGTACTCCGTACAAGTAAAGTACTACGACTGAATTAATTTCTCTCCTGAAAAAAAAAAGAAACAATCACTTCCAGCCTTAAAGAATCACCTTAAAAAGCAAGAAGAAAAAGAAAAAACGAGTCTAACTGTCGGTCCGGCGTTTCTCTTTCTTTTTTGCTATTCTTATTTTTTTTTTTTTTTTTTTTTTTTTTTTTTCACCTCCCTCCCTCTGATCGATCAGTTTCATTTCCACCACTTTTCCTCCCACACTGCACGTACCCTTCCCTCTGTCTTTTCACATTCTTTTCCCTCTTCTTTCTCCCCTTTATTTCAGTATTCTAACCTCAACCAATATGTACCGCACTCTGCAGGCTCGACTTCTGACGTCTCACTAGTCCTCCCCTCCCGGTCTCTTTTGCTGCTGTTTGCGCCCGGTCGATTATCTGTCTCTCTTCCTCGTTCTCTCCCGCCGCTGTCTGCCCGTTCCCGATCATATCGCAAGGGTGATGACCGTGTGATCTCGGTTTTTTATTTTTATTCTGCTCATTTATTCATTCAGACAAGGCAATCGACTTCTTTCTTTCTGTCTGATCGGTTTTCTTTGATCCTCCGAGGCCCGTTTCTTTGATCCTCCGAAACCAAAGCACGTCTTCCACTTTCCTCTTCCCCGAGAAACATTCCCATTGTGCCCTGGTTTCGGATCATGAGATAGTCTGAATCGATTTCTGTATTGATTATCGAAGAAAAAAGAAAAAAAAAAACAACATTATCATGGACCCCTCCATCTCCCACCGGCCTTGGGAGACCACCGGCTCACACACTCCTCCGGTTTCGTCTTCACAAACTCTCCCTTCCATCTCGACTTTGACGGCGAGCATGAACGGTCATGTTGTTCATCCGGCAGAAAAATCACCCGGCAACCTGTCGCTGAACACCATTGAACGAGATTCGGGGAACTGGTCAATGCCTCATAGCACAAGTACGGACGCGCGCTTTAAAGGACGGAACGTGAACTGAGCTGATAATCTAAAAAGGATCCTCCACCTATTCAACCGCAACAACCAGCACCAGCAACTATCCCTCCCTCCAATTCCTTACCTCTCAACAACCTTCTCCAAACCGCGTCTCCTGCGTCCCTGATCGATCCCCCTACCCTCATGACCACTCCAACAGCAATACTCCTTCCTCTACCGGTGCCCAACACTCTCCTGGCTATGGCGCCTCCGCTCAACCACATCCTTCCACCCTTCCCTCCATAAATTATAACCATGAGGCCGCATCGCAACGAGGTAGCATCGCAGATCCTCCCGAGTCGCGACGGAGCAGTATCGACAGCCGCATGAACCAAGGGATCAGCTCATTGGCCATCAACCCCTCCTCACCTTACCACAGCACTAATGCCTCTCAAACATCCATCGTCTCCAGTCTCCAACGCGAACGCGGTATTGCTACAGACATGGGAATCTATCGCGGCCCTCGTTACTCGGGGGGGTCGGCCATGTCACCGCTCGGTCCACGAACGAGCGAGCATCGCAGCTTTGCGGCAGGCCGCACTGCACCCGCCATCTCCAACAATCCTCGCTCTGAAATCTACAATGCAGAGGCACCGACCGCGGGTCTCGCCTACGCTTTCCCTGATCCGGATGTTACTCGATCCAATTCCCTTTCCTCGTCTACCGAAAAGTCTACACCGCAGTTTTCGCGGAAGGGAAGCACAGCAGACTCGATCAGCAGTTTGTATTCGGATGCGCGTTTGCCCCGGGGTCAGCATGGTGGGTCTACCTTCGGACTCTGATGAATTTAATGCTGATACGTTACAGAACTCCCCCAAAGCGTGCACCACCATAGTTTACAGCATAAGCAAGTCCGGGATCTCATTGGAGATCCCGATCCGGCCGGAAATACACCTTACAGCCGGACACCCGAGCTGAGAGTTACCCATAAGCTGGCGGAGCGAAAACGCCGCAGCGAGATGAAGGATTGCTTTGAAGCTTTGCGGGTGCGACTTCCGCAGGGCCAGACCAACAAGTCTAGTAAATGGGAAACCCTTACACGAGGTAGGCTCCTCCTCTCCCCGGATTATGAAGTACAAGAATTAACATCGTTAAGCAATCGAATACATCTCGCATTTGGAGAAAAACCTGGGTGGTGTCCGTCGGGAGAACTCACTCTTACGGACCGAGGTGGAAGATTTGCGTGCCCAGCTCAGTCAGCAGCAAAACGGCCATGCACGGACTCAATCGATGTATGATCCCCATTCAATGGCCGGACCGCACACGAACGGCCACGGTCATGGTCATGGCCCGGTTTTTCATTACAACCACGGCCCTGTGATTACCCACGAACAACCACGAACACTTCCGCCGCTCATGAATGGATCCTCAGCGATGCAAGGAGTGCAATACACGGACGAGCGACGGTAAAAACCTAGTTATATTCGTTTCACCACGCGTTGTATATTGCCAACTTGATGGCACTTTTTACCGTTTCTCTCGTCGTCCTTCAACATATTCTAGATGTGAAACGTGTTACGTTGCTGGCCACACTGGTTTGGATGTTTCTGTGTGTTTATTTTATTTTATTTTGTATCCCTATGAGGGGAATATACCCGTGGAATTCTAATTCCGCACGATATCCGGCTTGGTTTTGTTACGCTGTGCGATGTCTGCTCTCCAGCGGGAAGTTTTTTTTTTTTTTTTTAATTTTTTTTTTTTTTTTTTTTTGGACTGAATTGATTTAATTCTGCATTGGGATGACTGGGATGGGAATGGTTTGTGTCTCTACTAAAAGAATCCGAGAAACCGGCGTGTTTGGAGTTCAGTTTGGATTATGATTGTTGTACCGTAGCATGCTGTAGTATTCTATTGTAGTCTGGATTGAGTGTCTGTGCTGTGCTGTACTATGTAGAGATACTTGTACAAGTCCCCGGCGGCTACAGTTCCCTAACATGGGCCATGATTGGCGGATGCACAACCACCGCCATTCCCAATCTCCCCAAGCGCCGACCCCAGTCCAGCGCGTACTCTAACACGCTGTTTCTGTTTTCTTGCCCAATATTCTTGCTTTCTTCAGGAAACAGCCTCGCAGCTGGCCATGCGGGTGGTGTCCTTGTCCAATCATGCTGGTTACATGGTCCCAAGCTGCCGCCGGCCAGATCCAGATTGAGATCGGGAATAGTGAAGAAGCGGGCTGGTTTATTTGCTTCTTTACTATGTACAGAGAAGATGGACATGTGGACTGGACTTCGTGGGCTAATAATAACATGGTAGCGATTAGGTTTTTGTTGTCTGTTGTCGTCTGTTGAGGGTTTGATCTTTGATCTTTTGTCTTCACTCTTTTCTCTTCTGGTCATTCTTTGGAAGTATTTTCTCCGTTGGCTCTGGCCTGGCCTTTTTCTTTACTTATTTGTCTTTGTTGTGAATGAAAGACCTATTGTCTCTTTCTTTGTCTTTCTTTGTCTCTCAATGGGCCGTCAATAATAGATCCATTCAACATCCACCATTCACCACTCTCAGCCTCAGCCCGACTCTAGGAATCGACATCGATAATCCGTACGTCTCGACTACACACTACACTATACAGCTTAATACTAATTAACACACACACAGACACAGACACACATAGGAAGGATGACCGGCAAACCAATCATCCCAACCCTCCGCATCCCAACAGCACCCTCCTTCCCCCTCTCCTCCCCCATCACTGAAGAAATTCCCAGCCCGCCGTCCTCAACCTGTTCAGATGAAAGACATCACCATCATCACCGGGATAACCGCCATCAACCCGTCGAGGTCTCCAAGACAGCGCGGCTGATGCCGCTGCTGCATACGTCTGAGCGGGACGCGCATCGGAGTCAGATGGTTGAGACGGATGAGCAGGGTGGGTTGAAGGTTGCTGGCGCTGGTACGAGTCCTGATGCGAGGAAGCCAGTGGGTTTGAACCTGGTGACTGATTTCTCGTCATCATCGCTGTCTGTCCCCAAGCCTAAGAAGCGGGGTCCGACGCTGGTTGATTTGGAAGGTTTAAAGACGCTATGTCGGACGCGCGAGCGGGAGAGATCAGTGCAGATGATCAAGGGGATTCTTAAAAAGAGGAGGTCGCAGGGTCTGCGACGTGTTCAAGTCCCAGATGGATCGTTGGAGCCGAGGAGGGCTGTTTTTGACTCCCATTCACCAGTAACCGAGGAAACTCATGAGCGGCCGAATAAGAAGCGCAAAGATGAACTCTCGCCGGGTGATAGACCGATCACGATTGGACTCAGCGTTACGTATGCGGATTCTGTGGATTCGGATTCGGATAAGGGAAAATCGAGAGAAAGAGAGATTGAGGGTATTGATAGCCAGATCACCCCCGTGACGCCGTCGATTATTGTCACCCCGGCTGGAGAGGATAGTTTCTGGGAGGATGATATTCCGGGACAGCAGCAGCATCCGAGACCTCGGGTTGCGTCGAGTATTTATTCGACGCCGACGCCGAATCCTATGATTGATTACGACGAAGTACCGCCTGTTCCTGCTATTCCGGCGTATCACTCTAGGGCGCCAACGGCGACGGCGACTCCGAATTTACAGCAGACACCGAATGTACAACAACAACAACAGCAACAACAACAACAACGGAGGTCGATCTTTAGAACGAGAAAGTCGCGCGCATATTCTACAGGAACTCTCTTCGAAGAAGACGACAGCCCAGCCTCAGCACAACCGCAACCGCAACCCGAACCGCAACCCCGGCCTCGCTCTGAACGAAGAAAAGCCCTATCCAAGCTTAGCATCAACACAGATACAAACCGCCACCAATCCCAGGGGTGGTGGACGTACCTTCTCTCCCCATTGTTGAAATCCAGCGCCTCGACATCCGCAAAAACGTTAACGCCAACGAGCCCCGATCGACCGCCTCTACTACCAGAGCTACGTGCGAACTCAACTGTCTCTAGCGAAGATTGGTGGGAGAAAGATTCTACTTCGAAAGAAGTCTCATGCTTCTCACCTGATACACCCGAGACTGAGAATGGTATTAACCCCGTTGAGTGCGGATGGCAGGGCGTGACGACGACTACGAATCCGTTTTTGAACATGGATCGAGGTGTGTATACAAATACAAACCGAGGCAACGAGGGCGGTAATGACATGGCATCGGGGATGTTCGCAGGACAGGTGATTCAGGGCTGTGCGGCGGAGTACTACCAAGCGTGCGCGCATGAGTTGTTCAGCGGGAGGCCGTATTTCGAGTGTGTTGGGCATGTCTGCTCGATTACGCCGGTGGCTCCAGCTATTCAAGTCTCTGAAGCTGCGAAGGTGGAAGAGAAATCGGGTGGGAAAGGTGTTGCTGGTTTTGCTGTTGTGGACAAGCATGCGGAAGTCCAAAGCCCTAACTCCGAGAATGACCGCGCGCAGTATTTCTCTGGCTCTACGGCTGTTAATGCACCCTCTGTGAGGGAGCCCGAGACTATGAATACCGCGAAACCCAAAGAGGGTGCTCGCAATCTGACGATCGAGACGGGCTCTCGACAGCCTGACCTTTTGAACCCGTTCACCCAGACGACAGCAGCCCGTCCAGCAACACCAGTCACCCCATTTTGCGTCCCCCCTGTCGCCGCATCGCCTCCACCACCACTTCCACAGACAAACACAGCCACGACAGTCACAGTCGAAAGAGCAGTCCCTCACTACATCGTCGTCCCGCAGAGCCAACCACCACAGGCCCCGTCCCCGGTCTCTCCCGCGTTTCAGCAGGCTACTGAACGGACTGGGATTCCGTTATCTAGTCTACAGAACGGACCAGCTCCATCGTCTAACGCGCAGGGTGGTCTGGAACCCCCCAAAGCACCTGCTGCTCTTGCTAGTCAAGTCAGTCTGTGGCCGAACCCTCATCCCACGGGAACCGCACCAACAAACACATCCAACGACGGTTATGTCGTCCAATGGCCTAACCATCATCCAGAAAGAGACGTAACACCACCAATCATCCAGAGAGAATTCACCACAACACAAATCCACGAAAAACAAGACAAAACCGCCAAAAACAGCAGCAAACCAAGCATCCTGGCCAAATGCCTGAACCGCAAAACCGACAAAAAATCCAAAACAAAACGCCGCTGCTATGCCGCCATCGCCTGCCTCTTCTTAATGATCCTCGTCGTGGCAATCCTCCTCGCCGTCTTCCTAACACATAAATCCGGGCCCTCCAGCCCCTCTACCGACACAAACACCACAAAAACAACACCCACCAGCTCAAACTGGTTAAACCTAACCGGATACCCGCCCATGCCTACTGGTCTCGCGACGATCGCTGGTCCGAAATCAAAGAAACAGGAATCGGGGTGTGTTTATCCAGAGACGTTGTGGAGTTGCGCGCTGCCGAAGGAGCAGCAAGAGAATAATAACCCGTATGACGCGGATGAGCCGAACTTTCTGGTTCAGATTCGGTTTCGCAATGGGACGTATTCGAGGAGTACGGTGCCCGTTTCGAAGAGGAGTGGCAGTGGTAATAGTACCTGGGAGCCTTCGCCCTCGGTGCCATCAACACGAGATCAAGAGTTTCTGGGAAATACAACAGATAACAACGCCGAGCCGTACGCGGGCGAAGAAACACCATTCTTCATGACCTTCCTTTCAACACAATCCTCCTCAAACTCAACTTCCGACTCCAGTCTCACACGAAGAAGTTTCTTCCCCAACCTCACAGACATAATCCCACCACCTGACTCCGACTCCGACGGCACAGCAGCCCCAGCAAACCTCTACCCCCTCCCTGAATCCCAGCCGATACGACTTTACAACCGCGACCAAGACGACGAGCACTACGGGTTCTACGCGTACTTTGACAAATCGATATTCCTCGAATCCGACGCCCCGCTGAATGGAAAGCCAGTTGATACGATCTCAAGCGACAAGAACGGGGGTTCGACAAAGGAAAACGCACGGGTACGATGTACATGGTCCCAAACGCGGTTTTTGGTGAAGATTTGGACGAGGGGGGAGAAATCGGGGAAGACGGTGCTTCAATCATCTACCGGCACCACCACCACCACTTCCTCAACCTCCAGCCCTACCGCCACCGGCACATCTAGTATAACGGCCGAAGACTACACCCGCCCGGGCACATTCCCGTACCCAGTGACAATAACCCTCGACCGCCACGGCGGCAGCGCATCCCAGAAAATGGTCTATTGCTACGGCATGTCCGACGACATGTCGTTGAATTCCACAGAGATAAAACTGCAGGTCGAGGAGAGGGGGTATGATGGGACGCTTGTGAATGCGGCGCCGGGGGTGTTTAATAGTACGAGTGTTGTTAGTGATGATGGCTGGGGAGGGGTTGATGGGGGAACTGGGGGGTGTGGGTGTGAGTGGGTTAATTGGGGGGTTTAGTTGTTTTTATTTTGGGGATAGTTTGGGTTGAAATGAGATAGGGTTGAGGGGATTGATCTTTTGAACTGGAGGAGATAGGATAGAATTGGATATGGTATATGATTAATGTATTATAGCACTTGGCTAACACAAACAAGCAATGATTAATTAAACCAAAACAGAACAAAACGCCTCTACCCATCTATCAATCTGCAATCAATCAGTCTAGTCTGTTACCAGGCCATACATAATCCTGGATAAATCAAACCACCAACAACCAACGAAAAGAAATCAATCCATCCACCTCACAATCTCACCACAAAATCAAGACACATAATCAACCAGTCCAAGCTAGCCAGCTAGCTAACTAGCCAACTCAGTAAAAGAAACCAAGTAATCCAACAACACCACCAACCACAGCACCCAGTCCCGACGCACTCACCTTACCACCAAATGACTTAAACTCAACCCCAGTAGCAGTAGGATACGCACCGCCACCATTACCCTCTTCATCATCACCGCCCTTGTCACCCTTACCGTGGCCCTTGGAAGGAGTCGCAGACGCAGACGCAGACGCAGACGCAGACGCAGATGCAGAAGCGCCACGAGCACCAGCGTTAGCGCCGCCGGGGGGAACGAAAACGGGGATTGTGCTGTGGATTAGGGGCTTGCTGGTGGTGGGCTTGGGGGCTTTGGTTAGGTTGGTTGGTTTGGGGCCGGCGGGCTTGGAGTCGGAGGGCTTCTCGTGGGGGGGCTTCTCGTGGGGGGGCTTCTCGTGGGTGGGTTTCTCGTGGGTGGGCTTCTCGTGGGTAGGCTTCTCGTGGGTAGGCTTCTCGTGGGTAGGCTTTTCGTGGGTGGGCTTGTCGTGGGAGGGCTTCTCGTGGGTAGGCTTCTCGTGGGTAGGCTTCTCGTGGGTAGGCTTTTCGTGGGTAGGCTTTTCGTGGGTGGGCTTGTCGTGGGAGGGCTTCTCGTGGGTAGGCTTTTCGTGGGTGGGCTTCTCGTGGGTGGGCTTGGAGCCACCTTCACCACCAGCAGACGAACTCTCAACAGGAACCGGCACAGGATTAGTAGAAGTCACCGGGACAGGAGTCTCCGAGGAAGAGTCAGTCTTCTCATGGGCCTTGGCCCAGGGGCACTCGGGGTGGGTGCAGACGCTGGCTGTTTTGATGGCGACGGCGGAGGTATCCTTTGCTGGGACGGCGCCGGCGGAGGTGCTGGCGGCGAGGGCCAGGAGGGTTACGGCGTGGGTGTGTTTGAAGTGCATTTTGTTGGTTTTTGGTGTTGATTGTTTGATAGATTGAATGGAAAGTTGAATTGTTTGATTGATGCTGATAATAATGACTAAAATTCAGGTGGCAGGAAAGCTATATTTATAATTTAGATCTCTCTCTTTCCTCTATTCTACTCCCATCTCCGTGCTCGACTATACAACAACGAACTCGTCAGCCATTACCGGATCCGAAGCACCACGTACTACGGGTACTGAATCCGACGACATGGTTCCATTGTCTAGCAGACAGTCTCAGGAGATGCCTTTGGTCCAAAACTTTCAAACTCGAGTCATTGTCTACTTGATGTGTATTCAAACGAATGCAGTCAGGGCATTTGTATCACGTGATACCCGTGTCCGGAAAACAGTGCCGATCCACTCCAGACGAATTGGGAGATTGAAAACAGGGTTATTTTTACCTACAATGAGACATTAGGCTAGAGAGACTAGTTTGGACTAATTTGGAAACGGAATTGGGTGAGTTGGCCGTATGGATTAGGTGGCCGTTGGGCTGTTTTCGGTAGAGACGTACTTGTACAGATAGTCAGGAAGAACTATTATGGGAGAGAAGTAATGAGTTAGAGCGAGTAGATTGTAGCAAGGGCTAGCAGTGTACGTTGGAGTAACGAAGGGAATTGTACTTGTTGTAAGGAGTTGTGTTATTGCTGTCCCCTGTAGATATTGATGCCTGAGGCTTATAATTTTAGCTCCCTAACTACTCCTTGATCGGTGGATAAGAGATAGCAAATCTCCATTCCCTACTCCGTACAGAGTACTCTGTACACATCTCTTCTCCAACACAAAATGACAGATCTCCTCTCCCCCGGCGACTACGATGACGACGCCTCCCTCCGCTCGCCCTCCGAACAAGACTCTGACCCCGAAGACGACGAATTCCTCCGCCACTCACGCACCACCCTCGAACTCGCCGAACACGACCGCACCGTTCTCGACGAGGAAGATGAGCTCGAAAAGCTGCTAACCCGGAGCGGACCAACGCATGGACTGCGAAGGATTTTCAGTCCCGTTAGCGCGGGGAGTGGGAGTGTTCGGATTGGGAAACAGGAGCGCAGGAGACGACGACAGGAAAGGAGGAAGGCGCGGAGACGCGAGCAGAAGACTGACGAGGGGGAGTTGATGTATGAGATGGAGGATGGGGAGGGCGAGGGAGATGAATTGCTTAGTAGGGGGTCGTATGAGGGGGAGAAGGTGTATTATGATGAGCCGCGAGTATCGTGGACAAGATATGCACTGGTGTTTACGGCGATTCTCGTCCTATTTCTCATCCTCGTCCTGGGCGCGTACAAAGCTTCGTCTTCCTTCCGAGCATCCCGCTACCATCCGCCGCCGCTATCCAATGGTACGAGTCTCTTCGCACCGACAACCATCCTCATCTCCCTCGACGGTTTCCGCGCCGACTTCCTCCACCGCGGCCTCACTCCGGCACTGAGCGCATTCATGGCACAAGGTGTCTCGCCCCAGTACATGACTCCCAGCTTCCCGAGCGTCACGTTCCCGAACCATTTTACACTGGTCACCGGACTATACCCCGAGAGCCACGGCGTGGTGGGCAACTCGTTCTACGACCCGGCATTGGATGAGGAGTTTTACTACACGGACTCAGCGAACAGCATGCGACCGCAGTGGTGGAATGCAGAACCGATTTGGAATACATTAGAGAAGCAGGATGTTCGGTCGGCTATACACATGTGGCCCGGGTCGGAGGCGCATATCGGGGGGATGGACCCGGAGATTGTCGACAAGTTTAATAAGTCTGAAGAGTTGGATAGGAAAACCGATCGCGTTTTGGGGCTACTTGACCAGGGTGAGGATGAGCGACCGCAGTTGATTGCTGCTTATGTTCCGAATGTGGATTACAATGGGCATAAATTCGGGCCGAACAGCACGGAAGTGCAGAGTACTATCGTGGAAGTGGATGCCATGTTGGGTGGTTTATTCGCCGGTCTAGAAGCGCGCAATTTGACCGACATCGTCAACGTCGTGATCGTTTCCGACCACGGAATGGCCACGACTGCCACGGAACGACTCGTGCAGCTTGAAGATCTGATCGATCTAGACCTGGTGGATCATATCGACGGATGGCCGTCGCGCGGCTTACGACCTAAGAACCTTGAGGCAGAGAAGATTCTCGAAGAACAATTACTCAGTGCAGCACCGAACTACTCCCATGCAGTCGAGATCTACACCCGCGAGACCATGCCGGAGCGCTACCACTTTTCGAACAACGGCCGCATCGCGCCGCTATGGGTGATCCCCAGGACGGGCTGGGCGATCGTTGAGCGACCGGAGATGGATGCGCGAAAGGCGCTTGAGTTGGGTGAGGTCTACAGTCCGAAGGGGATTCATGGGTATGATCATGAACATCCGCTTATGCGGGCGATTTTCCTTGCCCGGGGACCGGCGTTTCCTCATACGGCTAATAGTCGGTTGGATGATTTTCGTAAGTTCCTTTTCACGCTGAATAATTGCTCTGGATGAGACTGACGGGACAGAAAATGTCAATGTATACAACATCCTATGTGATTCGATGGGGGTTGAGCCATTGCCGAATAATGGGACACTACGGCTTCCGCTACAACCCATCGGTCTTCATTCGGATGAGGATGTGCCTGTTCTTGAGCATCCTCTGGATCCTCCGACGAGCACATTCGCGAGCGCATCCACGAGCGCATCCACGAGCGCATCCATGAGCGCATCCATGAGCGCATTCACAAGCGCAATTCCTCAATCTACACCCTCCACGACCGATGCGCCTGCGGATACCGCAGACACCGAGGAGGATGACGTCGAGAATCAACCCGCCTGGTGGAAGGCATTCTGGGGCAAAATGCACGACTTTAAAGATTGGGCGGAGGACATGGCTGAGGCAGTGAAGGACAACTTTGCGCATAGCGATTAATTTTTTTTTTCTTTTTTTTCTTTTTTTTTTTTTTTTTTTTGGATTTGAATAGCGATGATACCCAGTAGTTAGAACAGTGAACCAACAGCATTCCTTCACAGTCACAGGCGTTGACTCAATGCGGCGGGATTCACTACTCCATATACTGCATTGAGTGCCCGATGCTTACAATCTGCCTTTTCAGGCGTTTGTGTGAGTCAACCTGACAGCGAACCATCGGTGACACAATACGAGGTGATGAACAGGCACCAACATCGCCAGCTTTATAAGGAGCCTCTTGCCCTTGTACATTTTCACCATCATCTCAGCCTCAATTACCACCGATAAAAGGATCGGCACCATGGCTGAATTCGCCAATAACACCAACGGCTCCGGCCTCGGCTCCATCCCCGGCCCATCATTCGACACACAGCTCCTGGAAACCTTCATCCCAGGCTACGGGCTCGCCTCGCGCATTCTCGCTACATACTTCCACCTCGACCTCAGCAGCTACATTCCCGCGCTGATCGCCGGCGGTATCGTCTTCGCCGTCGCGAAATACCTCTACCACTGGCTCTACAGCCTCTTCACAGACCACTTTATTTCCACCGCGGAAATCCGTCTCGACGATGAAATCTACACATACCTCATGTTCTGGATGGCGCGGCAGTCATTCACAACCCGCACGACGAGTTTCGTTGCCGGAACCAAGCTAAGTGGCGGAAATCGGTACTACTCAGACGATGAGTCTGGCTCTGAGGCCGAAGATGAAGAGGAAGATGGTGAGAGCTTCGACGACTACTGGTCACGCACGATCAACCGCGACAAGTACAAGAAGTTGCGCTTTACCCCGTCGCAGGGCACGCATTACTTCCGGTATAAGGGACAGTATATTGCCTTTTCGCGGGAGCGTGAGGACAGTGGCAAGAAATCCCCCTTCGCCAGCGTCGTCCCGGAACGGCTTTACTTGTCTTGCGCGGGTCGCAATCCCAATGCCATCAAGGACCTTTTGACCGAAGCGCAGCGCGCATATGTCGCCCGCGATGGTATCCGCACGGTCATTTACCGCGGGCAGAAGGGTTCTGGGGATTGGTTCGACTGGGTGCGGTGCATGGCTCGGTCGCCTCGTGCGCTGAGCACGGTTATTCTCGATGTAGAGCAAAAGGATGCATTTATTGCTGATATTAAGGACTACTTGCACCCGAAGACGCGACGGTGGTATTCGAACCGTGGGATTCCGTACCGTCGGGGTTATTTGTTGCATGGGCCTCCCGGTACTGGAAAGACGAGTCTCTGTTTTGCGGCGAGTGGTTTGCTTGGACTACCTCTTTACCTGCTGAATCTGAACTCGAAGAGTCTGGACGAGGATAGTCTTATGAGTTTGTTCTCGGAGTTGCCGAGACGGTGTATCGTTCTTCTCGAGGATGTGGACAGCGCTGGTATCACCAAGAAGCGTGAAGAGGACAATACCTCCTCCTCCTCCTCCTCCTCCTCCTCCTCCTCCAGCAACAGCAATAACAACAGCAGCAACGACAAGGACAACGACAACAACGACGACTCTACAAATTCAGACGACGAGAAATCCGCCGGCCTCTCCCTCTCCGCACTCCTAAATGTCATTGACGGCGTCGCAGCAAGCGAGGGCCGCATTCTCGTCATGACAACCAACCACGCCGAGAAACTCGACCCAGCGCTCCTCCGTCCTGGCCGCGTTGACATGACAGTGACATTCGGCTACACCTCCAAGGCCGACATCGAGGAACTCTTCTCCGCGATCTACTCAACTCTCGAGGGCGACTACGGTACCAAAAAGCAGCGCCAGCAGCAGTACCAGAAGAGGAAAGAGGAGCTGGTCAATGGCAATGGCGCTGCTGTTGTTGCTCATGAGAAAAAGAAGGCTGAGGTTGATGTGCAGCGTGTTGCGAGATTGGCTGCTGAGTTTTCTGCGAGGGTTCCTGGGGGGGAGTTCACGGCTGCTGAGATTCAGGGGTATCTGCTGAATCATAAGCATGCGCCGACGGATGCGATTGAGGGAGCTGGGGAGTGGGCGGAGGGTGTGCTGAAGAAGAGGAAGGCATAATGGACATGACATTGCATTTAGACGGCATTGCATTTAGCATAGGGTTGTACTTTTAGCATAATGAAATGGACATGATATCAGTTTATCATTCAAATTTATGCCGGAAGTCACGCGACTGGATACTCAACATCTCCCACGCCTGTCCCTCACATCTACATACGTACTTGATTTTCTCAACATATTAAAGGCTTTCCCTTTCCGTTTTAGTGCTCACCCCTCGCTGCTTTTTGCTCACTGAGTAGATCTGAGCACGCACTGAGCGCCCTGAGCTGATCACTGAGCAGGGCCTAAGCAGAGGGGTGAGCAGCCTGAGTAAAGGAACCTCAATAAAATGCACCACGCTAGTTCCACCGATGTCCATTTTCCTTCGTATTGCTTTCCACCGCCATCCCCTCGACCTCCTCAACAAAGCGATGGCGCCATCAGTGGAACGGGGAATTGGGGTCATCATTTCTTCTGCTCCGCTTCTTACCATGCCAGCTTCTCCCCAGAGATAGTGGGGTGAACTAAGCTCCCATGAAGGTTCAAATCGCCCCAGAGATCACCCTATGCCCGGGGAGCGTGTTCCTAGCTCTCAAGAAAAGGCTCGGTAATCCCACAAACTACGCAGAGGCTTTCTAGAGCTGCGAAGCTCCCACGACCAAGTTGGCTCTTGCTTTACTGGGGACGACTGGACAAGTATCTCGTTGCCAGCGCACTATATATCACTGTGATCTGGAAAGAATCTTAAGCCGTATGGCCCTGGAGGTTCCTGAGATTGGTAACAGAATAGCAGGCTAAACTTTTGCATAGCTACATTGAAGCGCCGGTGGTCTCACTCTGCGCGCATTTTATTACAAGGTCATATAGAGTAAATGAATAGTTGCGTTTGTGATTTGTCGCGATTTTCAATGATACATTATTTCAATAAGAGTGATGCACGGAAAAATGCACTATGGGATGATCTCATCCTCTAGAGCTGTTGAGCTCATGAGATATAGTTGTCTTCTTTGAACTACAGACGCCATCCCTTGTTGCTTCTTATAATTCAAACTGTTCTATAGTACCCTAACTTTAATAGACGTCGCACTACCCTCATCCGGTCCAGGAGATGATTGAAGATATCATGCCCCAGCCTGGTGTGTGTTTGTCGGATCAGGGAGGCGCATCAACTTCTACCGCAGACGGAAAGGCATGATATGGCCTAGAATCCTTCTCATCGATTGCTGTTTTCTGAAGATACCAGAATCAAAATGGTTCAGATTTGGAAATGACAATAGGCGGCTAGCCATATGTAGATCCCACTTCTAAATGGTCAGAGAGATCTCATTGTTTCCAGAGAAAGCAGAGTGCTGTTGGGTATTTATTTCGCGTCCAGGGCTGCTAGAGCTCTACACAGCACATAAATAAGCTCCGTTGTCCTCTGGACACTCATCATCTTGTTCATATCTCGATATTTTCATTCTATATACGCGCGAAGATGAAGAAGGTACAGAGGAGTGCAAAACCAGTTACACCAGTGCACACTCTTTGATTCTTTCTGGGGCCCACTACCAAGCCACTAGTTCCATAATATGAGTGCAATATAATGGGTAAAAATGGAAAGGACAGAGACTTAGGTCTGTCATCAGTGAACGGAAATACCGGGGATAGCATTGTTGGTGGTAGAGGTGACAGAGGTCCGAAAATCTTCGGGGTTTCCCGCGGATTCCTTCTGTATGCGACCCACTTGCTCGCCAATCGTATCGGGGTCATCTTTTTAAGTTATGCTTACTATGTACTCCATTCCGAAATCTTTCGGTTTGTCCAAGAAGCTACGGACGTTACTTTGCTATAACATCATGCCGTTCGGGGTCTATCGCCTCTGCCGGGTTCGTGGTCGTTGCATTCGAGTGTTATGCGGTGGAAGGAGATGTTATTTGCCGAAGTGCTGAGTACTGTCTTCAACCCAGAGCGACATCTTTTGAGCGAACGGCGTACGTGGGATTTTGTTGAGACTTCATCTTCGTCATCTAGGGCGTTCATTTGGTCCATGACAAATACAACGGAGGTGGACCAGTTATTGGCAATGAAATTGGCAACTTCGTTCATGTCCTGCAGTTTAACAATTTCCTCGACCTTCTCAGGGAGATCACTCCAAGTAAACAGCAAGCATTGCTGCAGGTATTTCGTAGGATCTTCAAGGCATATGCGACAGTCTGGGAGGTACACGACCCGATAGCCGTATGCCGTGAGAAAACATGTGAGGGTTGCAAGAAGGTGCGACTTCCCGTAGCCCATGAGGCCATATACCCAGAGATTTGGATGGCCAAAACCCTCTTCCATTGAGTTAAAAGCATCAACGAGGCCAGAGAACACCTCCCGTCCCATGTAATGATAGTTTCCCTGGTCATTACGGACCATGAATCGCTTAGGCATCTCGGTCCCCAAGAATGGAAATGGAAGTCTCACGGAGATGCTCGGAGAGGAGAGCAGGGATTTTGCATCGTCTAGACCCTTGAAGCTTTTATCAAAAAGGTCAATGACCCGACTACGTTGCTTCACACTGAGCTTTGCCGTATGGCGAAGCTCTGGGGCTTGCTGCTGGGCAACTTTCACCTGTCGCGCAAACTGTTCGTCCTGACGTTGGTTGCTCTTCTGAGTGTCTGTGGTATTGCCACTTCCTTCCTGGATATTCACGCGTGGAATTCCGTCTGACTGGGCTAGATTGGCTTGAAAGGCCGCTTTCAAACGCTCGTCGGATTCATAATCAGCCAGTCCCGCTTCATCCGCCTTCCCTAGATTAGAAGTTAGTAGAAGTAGAATACATGGCCAAGTGAGAAGGGAGCTTAACTTTTTTTTCTTGAGGTAGTTTTCTTTCATGCACATCAGGTTAGCGCCGGTGCCTCAGGACAGCCCAACCTCCTTGAAAGCCTATTCTGCGCCAGAGTACACGAGACTGCAGCCTGTAATATTGCACTTGCCCATGATCTTGACATCCGCCTTGGGCACTGGCACGCCTGCGAACTGAGATAAGTGTTTCACTAGCTCATTCGTGCTCAACATGTCGAAATAGGTGTTTTTTTTTGGCGGCATGATGCCGGTCTGACAAGAGATGATAAAACAAGCAACTGGAAAGATAGAAAATTGATGAGGGATAATTGGCACCTGTAGTATTCCACGCTAGTAGATGCAGTGCAAAAAAAAAAAAAAAAAAAAAAAAAAAAAGAGAGAGGGAGAGAGAAGAAGAAGAAGAATAGCTATAAAAGAAGGGCGAAAAGTTTCTTTCGCTTAGGCAGAAGTACAAGAGTGAACAAAGGATAACACGTGACATCATCCATTTACCTCAAAGGACTGCAATGAAGAAATGCGACATTTGTAGTTCAGACACGCTAGTCAAGCGAGGATTTCGCAGGATACTACATATGCTCCAGGACAATTACCTAGGTCTAAAGAATAGACTCCATCCCCGGAATTTGCCTCTGCCCTTGAACATTAAACGACCTCAAGATATTGTCAAGTTGCTCCTTTTCCTCCATCGTCAGCAAAGCAACTTTGCAGTTCCCTCGACGCGTGAGGCTACAGTGACTCCGGGAATGGGGATAATCGTACCACAGCCAGGTGTGCTGGGGTGCGCGCGAATCCATGCGAGTGCCAGGCGTGACGGCTCTACGTTTCGGTAAATTCCTGGACCTTGTCGACCAGCTCGAGATTCTTAGAAAAAATTCAAAGCGTTGAAATTTAGTTCAGTACAATGTTCAATATGAAGTAAGATGGGAAAGGAGTCTTACCTACGTTGAAAGCCATCAAACATATGGCGAAAATCGCCCTTAGGGATATCATTCAGTTTTATATGGGAATGCAGAGTGCGCGGCTCGGCCGTATGCGCGGTTCGCCCGTGGAATACGTTAGTCACTATAGCCAAGATGACCTAAGCCTCCTATGTTCATGAGGCTTCAGGTTTTCTTTGTCTTTTGCTTGTCATTCAAGACTGGCAATCTCATGTGTTGTGCTACAGAATCTCTTGACTGGTACATTCTGGTTTGGTGGGGGGGGGCATGGGAGTGGGACCAGCTGCTCTTTAGAATTGATTGCCTCAGAGGATTCCCAGGGTCTCTCGTTCTCGTTTGTTATGTTCTCTTGGCTTCCACTACACCTGTTAGTCCTTAACGGTATGCACTTATTCCAGCTTCAAGGGGAAAAGCTTCCAAAAATTGCCGGAAATAACCATGTGTCACATGAAAGGGAAAATACATACACATTTCAGAGCAAGCTTAAATTCTTAGGAACTACACCCTGGTGCCGTAGGAGTCCCCTGGCTCTTGGGAATAACCTTGAGTTCTTGCGAGTGTCCCTGTAGTTCTAAAGAATTCCCAGAATGGATCCTCTTGTTATGGAACACAAGCCTATGGCTTACGAGAACCTACGAAGGATGACACTAATGCATTGACAGGTGGGAACCATGTCTTTTTCCTCTTCCCGCTTTTTGTTTACTCTTGTTTCTATTTGCCATTGAGCTCTGCGGCAGACTGCACAGTGGAAACTGAATATAAAATGATCCCGCTGGAGGGAAGTGCAGGTTGAGTGTGCTGTAGATTGCATCGAGTAATTTGTGTTGGCCGGTGTGAATACTGTTGCACCAGAGAAGCGTAATTGCATTGGGGGAGATGCGTTGGCTAGTGTGAACACTGTCTCACCAAAGAAGCACGAGCTCCTCGGCAGTGGTGATGTACGAGTCTTTTCACTTATTATTGAGGGCAAATATTTGAAAGCGTCTCACTGAATGCAGTCTTCACTCTCTTGTCCTAATTCATAATGTGACCCTAAATCTTTCTCCGGTTCCAAGGCGAGCCAGATCAGGTCTTTTACAACGGTGCCCTCTCAGCAGGTACCTTTGCACCACCTTCACTATACACATCCGGAAACACCAAGTTTATCTCTCCAGATTGTGGTTATTCACCGCGCCCAGCGTCTTATTCATCCAGGCAAATATTGTTCTCGTCATTTCCTGTCCAGCCCCGGTTTGACAATGATAGCCTGCAGTCCCATTAAACCGGTACCAAGTTGCCTTATCACCAACTGCATCAGCGACCTGTTGCGGCTGTCCTTGGAAAATATTTTCGAATTCGGCGTCACCGACAAATACCGGCATGTTGATTCTTTCAACGACATCTCCTAGTCGGTACTGCTTTGTCTGATTGAAAAAGTCAGAAGGCGAGCGCGTGCGAAACGACCACAAGCCTTGGTCGAGGCCCCAAGCCGTGTTGGTGGGGAGCTTGTCAGCTTTGCGCAGCGAGAGAAGCTCTTTGTCGAACTCGGTATAGTTTCCTGCCTCATACATAGCTATGACGTTGGATGGTATCTGTCTCGAGAATCCGGCATATAGATCCCAAACACCATCGATGAGGACGACAGCGGACAGTCGAGGCTCGAATGCTGCCGCGCGTGCAGCCAAATAACCACCGAACGAATTTCCGATAAGTACCAGGCGGCGCTTGTCCACAATCTGGGACTTTTGAGAGAGGACATGGTCCACAACGGGGACCACAACGTCCTCCCAATCCGGGACGAAACCTATGTTCTGGTCACGACGCACAGTAGGTTGACCTGGCCCTTCATAAGTAATGCAGTTCCATCCTCGCACCAGGGCGGCAGCAACGAAGTAATGGTATGAGTCTTCTTGGGCTGCATCGAATCCATTTCCGATAATCAAGGTCGGCCGTTGGTGGCTACTGCTGTCTGTTGCACTGTACCAGATTGCTTCAATCGTGAAGTTGCCATTCTTGGCGGGAATGCGAACACGCTGGCCAGGTACAGGTAGAGAAGCCAGCGCCTTATCAAAGGCTGCAGTCTGTTCTGTCCACAGGTAGTTTATCAGTGGGTTGCTCCAGTTGCCATGCAGGTAGATATCCGCACGACGGAAGTACTGGGCAGCAGAGAACCATGTGTCTCTCACATTGACCGGATCGTATGCGTTTTCTGGGTTTTCCGCCATTTCCTTGGTACGATTGGCGAGCTTGTAAAACTGCTCACTGAACGAATCCATGTCCCCAGGTTTGATGTTTTTGGCAGCACCGAGAACAGGGGCGATATCCGATCCTCCGGTTATGGCATCACCGAGCGCAATGAGATATTGAAAGTTGAAGGCGGAGTCTGTGCTCAGCTCCAGTGTGGGGGTATTGCTGCTTTTATTCACCCCAGCTGCCGAAGAGCAGGATGAAAATGCTGCCAACAAGGCGTAGATGCAAATGGAGAGCCTCATATTGGAGGGTGAAAATGAAATAAGTGATTTTTTTGGTGTCCGATGGTCGAGTGTATTCAGTATTTTGATTGAATTTGTTTATGCCATGATCTGAAGCAGCTTCCGACGGTTTATATATTTTGACTAACTTACTCATTTAAATCTGTTTCCGTGTAAGGCAACCATGTGTTGACCTCGTACCATCCAAACCAGTGGCAAGTAGGCCGAAGAAAGTACTCTTTTTGCGACGGTACCAAAGAGTCTGCAGCTCGATGATTTACCCCCCCCCCATTCCCTCCCAAAATTAGGATGATAATAACCAGCAGTTGATCAAGCGCAGGCACTATGATACTCCCCCCGGATTGACCGAGGGCCACGCTAAACCGAATCAGGTGCATGTTTTGCGATCAATGTCGTCTATTGGTGGAAGGTGGATATAAGGTGGGGTGGGTGATTAGGGCAGCGCCCGCCAAGAATGCGCAGGACTCCGCCGATTGACTGCACCCACTGTCGAAGCTCCGCCACATCACTAAGCATGATGGAGCTGATTCAACGCTGCCTTGACAAGATGACGCTTATAGTCCACCCGGATTGGCTGAGTGCCACACTAAACCGAATCGGGTGCATGTTTTGCGACTAATGTCGTCTATTGGTGGAAGGCGGATATAAGGTGAGGCGGTGGGTGATTTAGGGCTATGGATTGATAGAACCTTGTGAGGGATATTTTGGGGGTAAGTTGCTTCAAAGCATCAGATGAGAATGGTTCCAAGAAAAGGTCTTTTCTTTTTGCAGATGCCTAATCCATCTGTTGATATGATAATCTCCTGACTTGTTTCTTATTCACTTGCTTGTGTTACTTTTTCTTCTTTTCTTCTCTTCTCGTTTCATTGTTCCTTACTTCTCTTACTCCTCTCTCTCTCTTCCCCTCTTGAAGGCATTTGGCCTTTTCCTTCTTTCTGGATTCTCCCCCTTGTCTGCTGCCTTATGCCATATTCCTGTCGTTGCTTGCAGGCTATATTTTGAGACTAAGACTGGTGCAGTTTGGTCTGAAGAGACAGGGTCCTCGAGTTAAAAGGGTCTACAACTCTTCTACTTCGTCACCCCCATCTTTTGGCTGACCGGGTCTGTACAATCTCAAGTCATCATTATTTGAGGTAAATTTCCTGAATCATCTTGCCCCATGAGGCGCGCATCATTTTTGGCCGTACTGGCGACAACTCTGGCACTTGCATCACTTGCGAGTGCCCTCCCACATGGTGACGATGACATGCACATAGGTGGTGGAATGTCTCACGGCGATCACGGTGATCCCACACCGTTACCCAGTGCCCAACCATCTGCAACCCCGCAGGTCAGCAGTGATGATTCGCCAATGAGCTACTTTGCCTACGGGAATCACACTGGCACAATCGTCGCCCATGTCGCCCTCATGATTCTAGGATGGTGCTTCGTTCTTCCTGCAGGTATACTCTTTACTGGTCTATTTATTTCCTTTTCATTTTTTACTGCAGCAGCCAGGACTGACCTGGTCATGGATAGGTGTTATGCTCAGTGTTGCCGGGTCGCGCTTTGCGCTGCCAACGCAATTTCTCTTCCTGATCGTCAACGCGTTCGGAATGCTGCTTGGTATCGTCTACAATAACCAAACTCCCGACCTGTACCCAAACAATGCTCATCATAAAATCGGTTGGATCGCGTCGAGTGTGGCCTGTGCTCAGATGGCTATGTCATTGATTTTCACCTACGCCGGAAGAGGCGATGCCGATGTCGCCGCATCTGAACGTGCGGCATTCATTCCCGTGTCCACGGATGAAATGGCCCACCACGCGCATTCCTATCCGACTAGTGCGCTTCACGAATACAGCTGGTCAGGAGATAGTGGCCAGGACACGGAACGTGACTCCTCTATCCACAGTGGCCCTTCTTTGCCCACTTGCGTTCCGCCGTCGGCAGATTACGTTGACTTTGAAAAGCCAGAGGAGGATGACTTGCATGGTGGAAAGCCTGCTGGTTCTCGCAGCTGGCTTCGCAACACGTTCGTCGACCGCTTCTTGGCCAGTCGCGTACCGGGAATGGTGTCCAGTCGTGTCTTGGGTATTCTCAACGTGGTTTACATGGTTATCGACAGAATCCTCTTGCCTTTTGGCTTCATTGCCATTGCAACGGGTGGTGTGACTTATGGCGGCATCATGGTAGGTGCTTTCTTCTTAACCCATATTATCCCTGGCCTGTCCTTTATGTAGCCCACGCAAGAACGTCTTGTGCTGATACATATTCTATAGAGGGGCATCCAAATCTTCAACGGGCTTGCGCATTTCATCAAGGGCGGAATTTTCTTCTGGTACGGTATGTTGACGCTAGGACGATGGATGGGCTGCTGGTCAGACTTGGGCTGGTCCTGGAACGTGAAGCCCGCTGCAGAGATTGTTGGCAAGGCAAAGGCCAGAGTTCCTTCGGCTGAATTCGTCGAGTCCCTTGTGATCTTCCTGTATGGAGTCACGAATGTGTTCCTGGAACATCTGTCGGGCTGGGGTGGCGAATGGACTGCCCGGGATTTGGAGCATGTGTCCATCTCTATTTTATTCTTCGGTGGTGGATTGGTAAGATCCAGTCTTCTCTGGAATGTTTTTTAATACTTTCGGACCGTTGCTAACCAAAGTTTCTTTGCTTAGTGTGGTATGCTTTTCGAGTCCAAACGAGTCAAGAACTGGGTAAACAGCACCGTCCTGCAGTATCCTTCTCAGTTTGCAGCCCATGGACACGTTGATTCGGCCTGGCACATTCCCAGTTCGCAAAGTGTGTCGCTCAACCCGATGCCTGCCCTGGTAATCCTTTTCCTAGGCTCCATAATGGGATCGCATCATCAAGACTCTATGGTTTCGTCCATGGTACATCAGCAATGGGGTAATCTCTTGAGCGGGTTTGCCGTCTCTAGAATCTTGACCTATGCCATCCTATTCTTGAAGCCCCCGACTTCCTACCTGCCGTCTCGTCCACCCACTGAGGTTCTCGCTTCCTTCTGCTTGGTGGGTGGCGGTCTCATATTTATGATGAGCGTAAGTTTGTCGACGTGAAATTGGTATTAAATGCGACCTTGCTGATCGTCGACTATAGACCAGGAACATTGTCGAAACCATGATCTACTACCAAATAGAATCCATGTTCACAATGACTGTGGGAATGAGTTTAACGGTATTTGTAATGGCCTGGGAGACCCTCATTATTGCCATCAAAGCGTGGGCAACAAGAAGGGAGATGGCTCCGCAACTGGCTACGTTTCAATTTCCGGCCTAAATCTACAGTGACAACATTCTTGCTTGGCTATGAAGCGCGCTTATTATTGATCACTCCTTTTTCGCTCAGCCCGCCATACTCAACGCCGAAAAAAAAGAGAAAAAAAACACGGACATATGGAAGAAACCGCTGAATATTTTCTGCGAGCTAATATTGTTTTTCAAAACAGTTTTATAGCCCTTAAAATATTGGCTTATTGTTTTTTTTTTTTTTTTTTTTTTTTTTTTTTCCCATTTTCGAATTTCTTCGGGGATTTATTATGCTGGATGTCGTCTCCTCTCATGAACGGATGCCTCTCATTACAGACACGATGCGGTTAATAGTGAGGTGGTTTGTTTGATATGTTCTGGTGATCTGGTCCGGGGAGAGACAGACGCATGAGGAAATGTCGCCAGCTCGTCTTATGTGGATTTGTGATTTAATCTAGACGTATGTACGTGGCTACAAATGTCTCTAACGCTCCTTAGACGATAATCCTATATATATTTATATTCCACTTGAACTCCGTCCTAGTCAATAGATTCCGTAGCGCAACACGCGAAAGCGATAGCTCTGAACGACAAACAAAAGACGAAGAAATCCCGAAGCCTCATGAACAACATAGCACCTTGGCCATGATAGTTGATTCTTTCATAACCCGGGGGTGCTATTGGTCCAGTATTGCATGGCATGTAATGATCCGTCAATGACTGCGCCACTGACTGCGCCCACTGTCGAAAGCTTCGCCACATCACTAAGCATGGTGGAGCTGATTCAATGCTGCCTTGACAAGATGACGCTTAATAGTCCACCCGCCGCAAATGCCAAAGGGCTCTCTCTTTCCGGCATCTTTGCTGCCAATATGGTGAACCGCGGGCGTTCAGGAGGGTGCATCACTTGCAAAGAACGACGCGTCAAATGTGACGAGGCAAGACCGAAATGCCAGGCGTGTCAGCGGCTCCAGCTTCATTGTGGAGGCTACAAGACGAAGTATGCAAATCTCAAATTCAAAGACCAGAACCACAAGTTTGGCACCCAAAGCGTTGTGGTCCGAGGCGCCACACAGCAGAACCGAGCCTATAACCTGCGACCACTGAGTGAAACCGACACGGCCGTGCCGTTTTTTCTTCACCATTACGCCAGAATTGGTCGTGACATAAGCTCCGCGCGCGGGTTCTTCGAGGTGCTCATTCCAATCTACTGCTCGCAGCGGCAGGACTCCGCACTCTCATTAGCTGTGTCAGCTGTCGCGTCACAAGTACTGTCTATCTGGCGACATGACAACTCTCCTCTGCCGCAGGAGGCTTACGCCCAGGCTGTCAAGTGTCTTCGGCGTACAATACAGGACCGCCGTGAATGGGGCAACGCAGCAACGATGCTGGCGGTTGTATCACTGCAGCTATTTGAGAGTATCGTCGCGATATACGGCCTTCGCCCATCCACGCAGATACACCATAACGGGGCATTGTCTTTCCTTCCATTTGCCAATGCAGGCGATAACAATGAAGGCGCAAGTGCATATGTTCGACGATTTATTCTTCATACAGAAATATGCTCGGCAATACACCAAGGAAGACAATTGCAAACGATCGCATCTTCGTGGATCGGAGGCAACGGCCTGTTCACCGTATCAGGTAACCCAAGTGCTGCACTTGATGCCATCGGAGTGTCTGTTGCTAGGCTACAGGCCAGGCATTTGAAGCTGGGACTACAGAGTGGTCGCGTTACGTTGTCACCGGAAGCTCTGAGCGAATGCATTGCCGAGACAAGACGCGTCGATCAACAATTGCTTACTTGGGCACAATGCATGCCCGACCATTGGCAGCCACTGAAACTTACAAATGGGTGGAACATCGATTCATCGATTCCGGTTTATCAATCCACGTGCGAGATCTACCCCTCCTGTCAAATCGCAGCAATCTGGAACTTGTGGCGCATTCAACGTATCTTGATTGTCAAGATTAAACTCAGCTTGCTCGATGCCACCTTGAACACTTGGCAAAGTGACTTCGAGTGCGATGGCATGTCGTCGAACCTTCAGGAGTTGGCCGAGCTTCAGCACATTTTGCAGGAGCTGGTCGATGGTGTGTGTTATAGTGTGCCCTTCTATCTCGGCAATCGAAGCAAGCCATTAAGCATTGCCGACTTCGCTGACCCCACAATTTTGCTTCCAAGCTCACACTTTCCGGGTCGTAACGGAAACTGGAACAAACAAATCTACCACCACGACCCTCGGGTGGCGGTGGACGAGCACAGGCGCCACATCATCGCCCAAGGGCCATGGCACATTATGAGTCCACTCAGCCGGCTGTTGACATTCTGCTTCGAAGAGTGTGGTCCACCGATGAGAACTTTTTTCAGACCGGGGCAATACGAGTGGATCCGCGATCAGTTCCTGCGGGTTACCACGCTGCTTCACATCCCCCCTGTGGAGGCTAGCACTCATTACGGGCGCGGTTCCCTGTCGAAGATTCTTGACCCGAGGTCCTCAGATACGATGGCCGAGAACCTAGCAACAGGAGTTCGGAAAGGTGCAATTTTCATGAGTGGACCATAGCATCTCTTGTTGCTAACTCAACCATTCATTCTACCTGCTTCCGAGGGTGGGACCGCATGAAAAGACTTCCCCCCTTTGAAAACTGAGAACATGTCACCGTCATCCAAGGCCTTAAATGAATCGTCGTGATGTTTGCATGAAAGCAAACTTATAAACTCACTGCCTAGAACTGACGGGATGCATTTTTTGAAGGCTTCTTTGAAAGGTCAGATGCATTGGCCCGCTTGAAAATGAGGGGCAAGGCATCGAACACCTTCAAAAAAAAAAAAAAAAAAAAAAAAAAAAAGTTGATTCATGTTCCCTTGGAAACTAGGCACTGGTTTCAGAAGCTCTTCTCTCATTTCCGAATATAAATATCCAACAGTTGCCAGACATATTTCGAATGTTGGACTTGCAATCACAACCTCTCACAATGTATGAATACGCTACTACCAGCTTTTGCGGTATAGCGTATTTCTCGCTCTTCGTGCTACAATTTTTCATTCTGCATTTGTCCTCTTCACCTTCCATTAATATCCTGACGGTGATTTTCTTCAGTTTTGGCATCGTTCTGTGGTGCTTCTCTGGCCTTCTTTACCGATTTCTCCGTGCTTTCCAGGGCGATTCTGCCGTTGAGTGGCAGACAGTAGAGCTGGGGTTTTTTTTCTCTTCCTTATTTGGACAGCCGCCGTTCCTGCTACTGTCTTCTTGTTTCCATCCCAAAGTACAATTCAGATCGGGTACATCTCCGCGTTTACAACCATCGCAATTGGCAACATCATCGATTTTGTGTTCTGTGAATCTGGCGCGAACACCATGCGCAACCGATTTCCCTACTATTGTGTCTCTCGTTCTGCTATCGTTGGTGTCGACTATTTACGCCCTGACGGAGAAAACAAACACGTTGCCGCTACTAGCCTTTGAATACTGTCGGATTGTCTTTTTGAATCTCCTTGGGGCGGCATTATATTCTCTTCAACCACTCGAGCGGCTTGGTATTGCCCCAGGCTGGAGACCGAGCCTCTACGTGATGCACTTGGTTTTAGCTTACACCTTTTCTAACTTCTTCAAAGTAATCTCGGACACAGCTCTGATCGCATGATACTAGTGGATCACGGAAGAAGCGGTCTTATGAGGAAAGACCGGATATACATTATTAAATAGTTTTCGAATTGAAAAACTGGATTGAGCCTACTAAACTCAATCCCATTCAAGTTCCTTTCTCAGCATTTTAATGAAGCATAGGGTTGATTTTTTTTTTGACACCTATCCTATTTCAATTACAGCGCAAGCTTTCTGTCGGTGATAGAGCAAAAATCTGAGTTTGCGTTACAAATGACTCTGATATGAGACAATCTGCTATCTTTGTTTGGCCTCTTGGCACTGCCCCCCCAGCATGTTTCCTATTTAGCATAAACTCTTATTACAGCAAGCAACTTTAGATACTTTAATGCTTGTTTGCAACTGTTACGACCCGGCTCTCCTCGTAACCTTTGTCTGTTCTAGTGTTAGTGATACGAGACCTTCGTTGTGGTACGCTAGGACTGGATACCTAGTCGTCTTATCCTGCTGTTCAGTTAGCGTAGTAGTTAGGGTTCACACAAACCTGTGATCAACACCGCGTTGATCTATAGTAATGTGTCGCTTGGTATATCGCCCCAGCCAGGCTCCATAATGATATCCGATAACTTAAGTGGTAGGGTAAGGCCACAAGAGTAGAACAAGGTCAACTGTGCTCGTAAGCAGAGTTGTTGGTTAAGTGCATACGAGTCGAACTAGAAATATAACCAATGCTTGGATAACTCAACACCTCTGTGACGGTCGAACGCTATAGGACCGGGAGAGACTTTCTCAGACGTATCACATATGAGGTATCATATGAGACACATCATATGTCACAGATCAACCCGCGTCCAGATAAATACCCTCTCCTTCCTCTAGATAGATTCCGTTTTCCAGATTCGAGATTCTCGTCGATGGCTACAATAGTTTAGATAGGAACATTGATTCAATATTATCTACTATTCCGAGCCCGTGACACTGGAGGCCTATTTGGGGTTGAATTTTGGGATTTGTTGTCATCTGAGTCTGAGTTATCAGTGACTGCATTTATCACTCCTCTTTCCTCTTCTAGATGGTCAAACACGCCATCCTCAATTGTCTGAGAGATGAGGAAGGAAACTGATAGGTCTGGTGTTGACACCCGGAATCAGTAAGGTTTGTCATTGGTGAGTTGGATGTGAAATCCTTGCTTCTCTAACTGATTGAATGATAATAAGTGAGAATGCAAAGTGGGTACATATCAGACATTCTTCAACTCTACCACACATTCTCCTATTGGTAGGTGAATAGTTCTGACTCCTTCCACTTTATGGATGCTATTGTCTGGCAATTTGACTACCTTGTGTGGAGTTGGAACTGGTTGTCGGATTAGACTCATCAGACTTCAGGGGGCAAAGTTCCGGATGGAGAGACCAGCATTGGTCTGGTGAATGTGGTCCTTTTCTGCAATGAGAGCAGTAAGTAGACCGTCATGGTGTTGATGGGGTTCCTGGTGGTTTGGGAGAGTTGGGTGTGCCATTCTGAGGTTTACTCCCCCCCTTCTGTGCGTTCCGATTGGTCGAATTCGGATTGTTTGGAGTGGTATTGGTTGGGTCTCAAAGCTCCTGTCAGTATATCGTGTATGAAATCAGTTGATAGGTGTTGGGTGATGATGGAGTACGGCTTTCCATTTGATCAATCACCTCATCCATATCCAGCTCATGATAGGCACTTCTTTTCAACACTGCAAAGAGGCTATCCAACTGTGTACAGATGAAAGACCTTTGAAAATCACCCAACAAGACAATGCCAATGTCATGGCATATCTCAGAGGTAGTATATCCCTTCCGTTCTATCTCTGTGGCTACTCGCTGCCACTGTCAAATCATCAAGATAGTATTGCCTTGGGGTCTCAAATTCATGAGCGTCTTAATGAGGAGTAAACGTTCTTCCGCAGGTGAGACGCCATATAGAGTGTCCAAACGGGATAGGATGTCATAAGGGTGTTGGGTATGGTCTGTTTGGACTTGGTGAAGAATATCACGCGTCAGGCGGTCCAATATGCAGGTATGTAGTAGTCATACAGATGTGTTGTACACTGCTGACTGCAAAGGAGTTTCTTTAGGCACTTCTTTTGGACGAAGCAAAACATCGCGGGCATTAATATAATCCACATCAATGAGGAGATCTTTCTTCCATTCAGAATAGTTCTCTCGGCCATGGAGGCGTTTGGTATCTCGCCAATGGGTTTTGGCAAGCTGATGGAGTTTCTTTTCTTCTCTGTCAACTGTTGATTGGCCACCTGATTGCGCAAACAGTTTGGATAGTTGCTCAATGAGTTGATTATCCACTCCTCCCAGATTGGTCTCAGGTTGTTTGCCTTTACTAAGGTTTCAGACCTCAGTTCTGTACTCATCTACCTATTTGATGAGTGATTTCAAAAGCTCAGTTTGATCCGGCTCTTTGGCTTGATGATGGGCAGGTTCTTGGACATTGGGGTGCCCTGATTCAACGCGTCCCCCCCCTTGAGCAGGAGGCGTTTCGGGAAGCGGTTGAGTAGTCTGGCTAGGAGATTGGGTCTCCTGTGGTTGTGTATACCGGTTTGGGTCTGGATTGATTGGTGTTGGGGTTGGTTGGTCGTCTATGTCCATGATGAATGAGCTTTCAGCGGCATCACCAAAGAGGTCGCTGGCTCTGCGTTGTTTGGTGCCTGGAGTCGCCATTTGGAGAACTGGGGGCATCTTCTTTGGGGGCATAATGTCGAGTTATCTGGGGAATATCTCGATTTCGTGGTCTTCTGAGTTTACCGATCGGGGCGGCACTTTCAGGGATGATTGAGCGTACGATAGCAATGAATTCTCGCAGGCTAAAACGTAATCTGATCGGCCTAACAAGAAATCCCTCGCTAAAGGAACCAATAACGTATATATAATCGCTCCTAACAAGCAGGAGGGTAGCAGAGACGGGTGTGAAAATGTTTGGTAGAATCCTGAACTCTCATGGGCCACAAAGCATTCAGAATGGGAGGGATAGGCACGTACTTATAGCTTCGTCGAAATCTGGATGCCCAGTTCGTTTATTACGGCCTAGAGATATATACACTTGTTTTGGCTTGCGCCATTCAATATGGGTTCCAGGATCGAGCGTTGGTATTTGGGATGGTGAATATGGCGCTATGATCAAACTACTTGTGCAAAATAACGAGGGGTGAGTAACTCAGTGTGCATGTGACTGATCACTGAGTGCGCCCTGAGTAGGCCCTGAGTAGGCCCTGAGTGCTCACTGAGTACTGACCTGTGACAGACAATACTCAGTGAGCAAGGCCCTGAGCGCCCTCATAGAAGTGGTGGCATCCAGAAGGGGAAAGTTCCAGTGGCAGTAGAAAATCAAGTTCGTATAGCAACATACATACTAGTACACCTCACAGCACTCGCCAAGAGAACACTTCACCCGCGGGATAATCCACCGTTCCCTGCATCTCCCTTACTCTCTACATCCCCCGACCAAGAGACTAACCGTGTCATGCAGAACTATACTTCCATCCTCCTACATCCATTCCGACTAACGGACTATGATATCACACCTGATCTCTCCCTCCCATGACTCTCTCCCCAATACAACCCGAAGAGAAGAAAACTCGGTCTGTGATCTCAATTTAGACTTCTCTAGCCTTTGCTTTCCCCGCAAAAAGAAACCTTCCGTGTGACCAGCCCCGACCCGATGGCTCCGTACATACGGAGTAAAGACTAAATGGGTATAGTAGAAGTAAGTGTGTTGGACATCCCGCACGAGGATCAACTGCAACGGTGGCATTTGTCCCACGCTAGTTTGTGATCGGGTCGGGCGATCCACAATGCGGGGTGGGCGGACTCGAGGTTTTCACGGGATTGAGTCATTGGAATAGAATCGAGGGCCGGGATGGGGGAGTGACTCGGTCTGTGATGTTGGTCGCCGGAACTGGATTTGGGGTTGCTTTTACAGGGAATGGTGGAATATCTACTGGCTACTGTACTTGTACAGAGTGTTGTGATACAAAGGAAGAATATAGCCGACGATCTCCCGACCTGAATGTCGCTCGAAGGGAAGAAGAGCCCTATTGATGAGGGGCTATTTACACTTCGCCTGACTAAGGATCAACATCACGACTCGAAAAAGTCTCGAAAAGCGGCAGTTTGGTGGAACGGGCAATCGCTCTGCAGAATGCAAATCGGATTGTCGAGATGCATCTCGTATCGACATTATCGACAATGATCTTCCCTGGTCGGATCACATCATATCAACCATATTGAGTAGGGGTACAGAAGATACTGACCTGCTCAATCCATTACAAAGAAAGACTGAGTAACATCGACTCAATAACTGACCGAGAATTCTCTTCTCCCACGTGTCTCGTGGACAAGACAGGTCGGCTAGAAAGACAAAACGGAGTATTCCGAATACGAGTTGGGCAGGTATAGTCCGTCGAAGCGAGGGACAGTATGCCTGGTAGGTTGCCTCGGCTAGGCGTGTTCAGGCATCATCCTGTCTTGGGCCTGTCCTAGTCCTAGAAATGGAGACTGGAGCGATGGTATGCGGACAACAAGTGGTCACTACCGAGTATACTCCGTACAAAGTGGATTTACGGAATAAAGAGACTAAAATGTTTGCTTTTGAGCCGCTCCCGCCCTCCCCTCCCCAACACAGCACCGCCATTGGCAAACTCATCCGTAGCTTATTATTGTCAATATCCGGCCAGACCCGAGCAGCCACGTCGATGAGCGGTCAACATGCCCTTGCATGCTTAGGGAGTATAGATCTTGGCCTCTCCTTGGTCCTTGGGCTCTTGGCTTTGCGGCTGACAATTAATGCATCAATTATCGCGCCTCCATTAAACTCCGAGCGCACTGAATCGATCACATTCACACCCCATCCCACCCCGGCAATAAAACCCGGATCTGGCGGTTTTTGGGCACCCAAAACCCGTATTCGCTACTGTAACCAAGGAGAACTATTCTGTCTTATGCGTTGTTAGCACTCTGTACGGAGTAGTGTCTTGGTCACCGCTGCGTTGCGCCTTGAATCCTCTATTGACAGCAATTGCGGCTCGGAAGATTCATTGAATCATTCTATACTCGGGTCAGGGACAACTAGGCAGAGTCAACTAACCAGAACAATGCAATAGCAGACGGAATATCTCCGGCTAGTCACTGGCCGCAATCCACACCTGATCCAAGTCCAAGCCTTGCTTTGGCTTCCAAATCACTAGCACTAGTAAAGTTAAGAAAGAATCTTACTCGATCACGAACAGGCAGGTCCGGTTCTCGACGGTTGGACTGGACAGACTGGGGCCGGACCCACTACATGCACTGCATCTCGGCCCATAAGCTCGGCCATCAGATGAATGAAATGAAATCAACTGACAGATGACTTTACCGGAAGGGATGATGGGTCTGAGTAGGAACGGTGCCCTATATAAGGGGACTGCTCCCTGGGTCTGAAGGGGATTGACAACCCTTTCTTTTTCTTCTTTTTATATAATTCCCATTTCCCTCGCATTTAATTGCCCATCTATTTCATTTTAAAACATTGCACATAAACATACCAAAATGTGGTCCTTCACATGGTCAGCCGCTTGCCTAACAACCCTCTTCACCACCGTCCTCACCTCCCCAATCCAACCCCGAGCCCAAGGCCCCTGGCTAGCCCTCGACACCAACTTCCCAGACCCCAGCTTTGTTCAAGCAGATGACGGCACATGGTACGCCTTCGGGACGAACGGTAACGGCAAGCGAATTCAAGTAGCCAGCTCCCCGGACTTTAATACATGGACGCTCCTCGACAAGGAAGCCCTACCTACGCTGGCGGGGTGGGAGACGGAAGTTGATCATTGGGCGCCGGATGTTGTTCGACGGGTAGGCCCCTCCCCTCCTTCTTTCTTTGTTTAATGAATGAATGAATGAATGAGGATGTTAACAAAGAGACAGAACGACGGAAAATACGTACTGTACTACTCCGGCGAAGCCAAAGAAATGGTCCGCCACCACTGCGTCGGCGTCGCCGTCTCCGAATCCACAGATCCCACAGGCCCCTACATCCCCAACTCGGACCCGCTCTCCTGCCGACTAGACCAAGGTGGCTCCATCGATCCAGCGGGTTTCCTCGACAAAGACGGCAGTCGGTACGTGGTCTTCAAAGTCGACGGCAACAGCATCGGGCACGGCGGGGACTGCAATAACGGCGTTGAACCGCTCGTCGCGACACCCGTTTTACTGCAAAAGGTTGCAGAGGACGGGTTCACGCTTGTCGGCGATGCAGTGCAGATTCTAGACCGGGATGATAGTGACGGGCCGTTGGTTGAGGCGCCGAATTTGATTCTGCACGGGGATACGTATTTCCTGTTTTATTCGACGCATTGCTTTACCGATCCGTTGTATGATGTGCGCTACGCTACATCCAAGTCTGTTACGGGGCCGTTTGTCAAGTCCGGGAAGAAGTTGATTCAGGGGGGTGAGGGTAATGGGGGTGGGTTGAACTTGACGTCGCCTGGGGGAGGGACGGTCTGTGGGTGTGGAGATAAGATGCTGTTTCATGCGTTTTGTAGGGATGATGTGAGGTGTGCTTATGCGGCAAATGTGTTTATTGATGGGGAGAGTGTTAGTATTGCTTGATTCCTCTTATGGGGGGCTTTTTTCTGGAGTATATAGCTTAATATTCATATTCATATAATTTTTGTACAAGGCAGCCCTATACTCGGGATTTATATTGTAGACCATTCATTCAGTTCTAATCATCACTTTTATAGACAATCTTCATACTCATAAGTTACGAAGCATTAAGAACCCACGACTCAAAAGGAACACCCCGCATCTTCTCCTTCCCATCAGAACCCTTCTCATAAAGCGCCGGCTCGAATTTAGAGACAGCCGCATACTTCCGGATCAAATGCCGCCAGTAACAAGCCTCCGCAGCCGGAGTCAGATATCTATCCCGAAGCGTCTTCACAGCATTGTTCGCAATCCGCTCCGCCACTTCAGGGTTATCAAGAAGATACCCCATCTTACGATCGAGGTCTGAGAATTCTCGATCAACTTCGACGTAGTTGGCATCGGGGCCAGTTGCCACAAGCGCGGCGTGGTGTGCTTCGCGCCAGATCATGCTATGCGAAATCACCACCGAACGGCAGTTCATCAGATACTTGCCGCGGCCGGAGAAACTGCGGCCTTCGGTGTGTGCGAGGAACATGTAGTTACAGTGGTCTTCCATGGGTAGAAGACTCTGCTCGACATCTTTCGGGTCTCCCCAGTTAATCGATTTAACGCTAGACCAGCTCTTCCCGCTAGCAGCGTCCATCAACTTGCCGCGGAGTTCCGGGTTCGTAGCAACACTTCCGTGCCAGAAGAGCTGCTTCTTCTTATCCTTGAATTTAAGGCCAGAAACGACCTTGCCATCGACCGTCATTCCCCCATCATCGACCGCCGCGATCCGCTGTCTGATATCCTTGTACGGCCCGACGCTGACCTCTGGCCACGACCAGTACCCGAAATCCGGCATCAACCATATTCCCTCTTCGTCATCCCGCTTTGTGTATGCCCACACGGGGGATTCGCCTCTGCTCATGTCCTCTGTGGTATAAATGAATTCGATATTGGGAAGGTTCTGCCGGTCTGGGAACGCAGCCAATGCGCGGTGCAGTGCGTATAGCGACGCCTTGCCTCGGGTAAACGTGACGGTGACTTTCGCAAAATCGATAACATACAACTAGGGAAATAATCGAGTTAGTGGGGGGGGGGGAGGAGGGGGGTAATTCTCCGAAGTAACCAAAGTGGGAACAGAACACACCTCTCCATGATGAATCATACCCCTCACCATCCCATCCTCGATCGGTATCGAATCCAACTCCTTAAACGTAATGGGATTATTCTCCCTAAACGCCGCTGACTTGTCGATTTCGAAATATAATTTCGGAAACGCAATGCGACACTGCTCCTCCGACAACCCGTGGTTATCCGCATCGCGCTCGACCACAAACTCCCATTGCGCATTCGTATCATTGGCAAACGGTGATGGCGGCGCGTGATATGTCGTAGACGGCTTGATCACGTATTTTGCGGTACCGCTGGAGCGGTTATCGAAGAGGAAATAGGTAAGGATGATGAAGGATATAAAGGCGCCGACGTATATGCAGCGGATCCACAGGGATTGGCCCCGGAGTGAGGGCATTGGTATATGCATGTCAAATGGAATATATACGGAGAATATACGAATTAATAGAACGAAAAGGGGATATGTACGCCGGACAAGGCTTGATGTGAGATATCACAGGCTCCGAGAATATGTGAGATTGCTGCTGCAATGCCGATGCTGGCTTTGTCGATGTGCCGGCACTTAGCGGAAGATTATGATGACTTTGAAAGAATAGAGACGGTCATCTCTGACCGATGGTGATGATGATGAGAGATGAGAGAGGTGAGTGTGTGATAACGATACGAGTGTCACGGAACAGTTGGACAAAATTCAACTGGATGATGTCATCACCGTCGATAGCAATCAAAATAGAAAAGGAGAATTAGGGAAATGCACTCCAGGATACAGTGATGGAGATATCCTCAAAGAAACGTCAAATTGAAAGGTGTCATTGCCAGAATCTCACGATAATTGTTTATTTTTCTCGTATCTTGGTGGATTGGTTTGATTGGTTTGCATTGGTTTGCATCGGAACTCTTCTTAACAGCCTCGAATCACAGCCAATAAGGAGCAGATTCTATAGCATGGACTGGGGCTAGCTGAGGCTAGTTGAGGCTAGTTGAGGCTAGTGTCCTCAAGCCAAGCCTCATCTAGCAATTGTCTCGCCATCTTAGGCTCATCCGGATCAATCTTCATCATGCTCTTCAGAAACAAAGCAAACTCCTTACCACTCCCGGACAGACTCTCAACCCAATCCTCCAAAAAGGCTTCTGACAGTCCTGGAACCGGATTGCGGATCTTTCCATCCTCGTTGAAGTTAGAGTGGCACAGCGAAGCCGCAAAATCCGCGCCAATCCGCGC